CCCAAAATGCTTCCTGACCTTTCTTGTCACTTTACTAAAATGCCTTCCTTAGCTAGGAGCCTTGAAACTTTCTGGGGAGTCCTACTCAACAAAGTGAGGACTTTTTGGAAGTGCCATTCATATCTTTGATCCATAAACTGGCCAACCTAGGGGTAATGGCAGAAATTTGTTCTGTCGCTGAACACTGTCTTTCTGTTATTCTGTCTTGATCACCAGAAGTCCATTAGTTTTCTTTCGGGGTTAAGGTGGAGACACAGAAAGTTATCTGTGAAATTCAGAAAAGGGATTCTAATCTGAGTACCAGTCCCCCTACCCCCAAGAAACCAATAATTAAGCTTTTGTTCTTTGGCATTTTACAGTATGTTATTGTCATTTGGCTTTATATCAAATTTGAAATATCTTAAGTACTACTGTGCTTAATTGTAATCTATGTTATAGGTATATGAAAAAACAGATTCCTTCCTCATGGTAAGGTCAGGGAGATCAGACATACCCACCATCAAACAACCTGTTATTAGTTAGGTAGCAGGTTGTTTTAACAGTTAAATGGGATAATGTGAAAATATTTCAGATAAAGTTCTTTGACACTAAATGATGTTTTCCAGCCTTGAGTTTCATAAATATTTAGAGGAATAATCTGATATTGATGTTTGAGATGGACTACAGTGTTAGAGATAGTGATTGCTTAAAGGCTGACTTGCTGACCAGTTTAAGTCACTTTTGAGAAACTAGCTGAAGGATGGGGAGAGCATGGTGAAGTGCAGAGTGGAATGTCTGGAGACTCTAATGCAGTAATAGTTCTGCTCTGCCTTAACAGCTGTATTTCTTTTTATTTATAAGCTATGTAGGTGATTCTATGAACTGCTTTAAAACTTGTTCATACATCGGGAGCAAGAGTTAGGGCAGGAAATGTTAGTGAGTATAGCAGTTGGGGGAAGGGAGAAGAATAGAAATAAGTTCCTGCAGGTTTATCACATTGAAGAGTATATAACATAAAATTTAAACATTGAAATCTGTCAGGATTTGTTGACTAAATGTGAGACACTGAAAGGAAAGAATCTGATATGTTTTTGCCTAGGAGAATGATAATTATATTAGGATAGTTATCAAGATGTTGAGAAAAGGTACTTACTATAGGATTTTTTTTTAGACTTATAACTAAGAAATATTGCAGGTATTTCTCATAATTCATTGGAGAAAATTTGAAAGATTACATAATGAGTATATTTAAGTGACATGGGGGGCATATAAGGTGGTCCAAATGAGGACAGCAGTTGTTTATTCACACTTACTTGACCTGTATAATGTAACCTCTCAAGCATTTTGAGATTGCAGAGTTGGATGGTTTCTATTTCCTTGACTTCTAATCCTTGTTAAGACCATTAAGTAGAGCAGTGGTTCCCAAATGGAAGGCTGTGAGTTAATTTCAGTATTTCAGAAACTGTAATGGAAATTATATTTTTACCCAGTTTAGGGATGTGCAAGTTAAAGTGCTTTTGTCTTTTTAGCTGGAATCATATCAACTCAGTGTTTTTAAATACAAGGTCCTTCTTAGTAATTACTTTGTTAGCAGTTTGCACTTTTTGCTTTTTTATGAAAGTTGAAATTTTTACAAAAATGAAACTTAATTTATGCAAGTTAGAAACATGAAGCTCTTGAAAAGGAAAATGAACTGTTGCTTGTGCCAGAAAATCTCACTTTTTCATTGATTCTATTGCTTCCAAGATTCTGTTTTGCTTTAATGGGTAATAATTTGAAGCAGTATTAAAAACATTTCTGGCTATATCATCTTTATCACTGTTTATGCAACTCCTAGAACAGTGCTTGCTGAACGAAATAACAAAATAGTGCTTGTAAATAGTAACTAAAGTTAAAGTAAATGTTAAGAAAGAATTAGAAGAATAATTATGCTTTGACACTTAGCACTATGGTGGTTTGTGTTAATTTTGAGATTTAGGATAAATTAGTAATATTGAAGGCATAAATAGTACTATATCCATCTATCCATAAAGGTACATTTCTTTGTTTTAGTAGCTAGTTGACATTCAGCTTTCTCCAAGGTTCACAATTTTATCCTACATTTTTGTTTTGATACTTTGTTATTGAGTATAATTATTTCAGACATTCAATAGTGGTATGGAATGGGTTGCAATAGAAGGAAACTACTGTGTGTCAAGAGAAGTAGAGGACCTTTAGGCTTTTTCATTGGTTCTTTCACCATGTTGTCTAGGGCGTTATAGATTAAATTAGGGTAGTTTATAACTTCATTACCTCACAGTTTTAAGTCCCATAAGGAACTTAAAGCCCAGATGAGGATGCAGATAACTCTATTAAATAGAGTCTGGTATTGTGTGTGTGGAGAGAAAAATAAGTTTGCTTGGGGAGTGGAATTAAATTCTCAGGTAGGGCATCCTTGCAGAGATGCAGGAAGAAAGTATGGTAGTGTTGGAGGGTTGTAGAGACCCTTCTGGTCTTAATCCAAACCTCAGTATTTATCCAGTTATCTCTGACTCATATTTAATAACCCAAGATAATCCTATTTGGAACAATTCAGTAAATAATTACAGAGTGCCAAGGTATGCCAGACACTGTTTTCAGTGTTAGAACCTGTACTAGTGAATTAAATATACAGTCTCTGTTCTTGTGGAACTTAATTTGTAATTGGGGATATAGAGAATAACAATATATACTGTGTTAGGTAGTAAAGGATGCTTGTTACAGATATTTCTTGCTGTTTAACAAGCTATTGTGAAATTCCTGACTTGAAACTGTTATTTTATTGATTCTTACAGTTCTTTGGGTTGAAAAGGGCTCATTTAGCTGGTTCTTTAACTGGTCTCACTTGGGACCTCATTGGCGGCTGGGCCTGGAGAGCCCAACGGGACTGTCAAATGGCCTTGGTGGTTGTCTGGGTTCTCAGCTGTGCCCTCGGTTTTTTGTCTGGGTTGTAAGAGGAAGTGTTCCAAGTGCGCAAAGGCCGAAGCTGCAAATTTTTTTAAGGCATGACCTCAGAAATTGCATTGTCACTTCCATTGTATTTTATTGGTCAAAACAGGCCACAGAGAGGGACTGTACCTTTTGATGGGCAGTGGTGACAAAGTCACATCGCAAGAGAGAACATGGGGTGGGGAATGATGTTGTGGCCATCTTTGGAAGCTGTCTACCATTGTACTACTAAAAAGTAAAAAATTAAGCAGGTTATTAGGGGGATAGAAGAAATGGGAGGCAGGAAGTACAATTCTATAGGAGGACAGGGAAGGCCTCTCCAACGAGGCAACTTGAGAGAGTGACCCATGAGAACCATATCTGAAGGAAGACTATTCCAGGCAGAGAAAATAGGACATAAAGAGAGCCACAGGTGGGAAAATCCCTAGTGTGATCAAGAAACAGCAGGAAGGAGGGCAGTGTAATTTGAATCGAGCACTACAGGGAGAATGATCGGACATGGAGTCAGAGTGTGAGAGAGAAATGGATTTTGTATTCCATGACAGAGGACTTTGTATTTTCTATAAGTGAGATGGACATCTGTTAGAAGATTCTGAGCAGAGGAGTTAAATGATCTGACTTAAATTTTAAAAGAATTCCACATAACTTCGTGGCAAATAGATGGGGAAACACTAGAAATAGTATCTTTATAAATAACAGGAGACTTTATTTTGGGGGGCTCCAGAATCACTGCAGACGGTGACTGCAGCCATGAAATTAAAAGATGCTTGCTCCTTGGAAGAAAAGCTATGACCAACCTAGACAGTACATTAAAAAGCAGAGATGTTACTTTGCTGACAAAGGGCCATCTAGTCAAAGCTGTGGTTTTTCCAGTAATCATGTATGGATGTGAGAGTTGGACCATAAAGGAAGCTGAGCGCTGTAAGAATTGATGCTTTAGAATTGTGGTGTTGGAGAAGACTCTTAAGAGTCCCTTGGACTGGACTGCAAGGAGATCAAACCAATTAATCCTAAAGAAAATCAGTCCTGACTATTCATTTGAAGGACTGATGCTGAAGCTGAAACTCCAGTCCTTTGGCTGCCTGATGCACAGAACTGACTCATTGGAAAAGCCCCTGATGCTGGGAAGGATTGAAGGCAGGAGGTGAAGGGGATGACAGAGGATGAAATGGTTGGATGGCATCACTGACTCAATGGACATGAGTTTGAGCAAGCTCTGGGAGTTGGTGATGGACAGGGTGGACTGGCATGCTGCAGTCCATGGGGTCGCAAAGAGTCGGACACGAGTGAGCAACTGAACTGAACTGAGAATCTTTGGTTGCTGATTTGAGCATAGATCATTGTGAGGATAGACGAAAGTGAAAATAGGGAATCAGGTCATCCATGCTGTCCTCCAAGGAATCTTCCCAATCCAGGGATGAAACCCAGGTCTCCCGCATTGCAAGCAGATGCTTTACCATCTGAGCCACCAGGGAAGCCCAAGAATACTGGAGTGGGTGACCTAACCCTTCTCCAGAGGAACTTCCCAACCCAGGAGCTGAACTGGGGTCTCCTGCATTGCAGGCAGTTTCTTTACCAACTGAACTACCAGGGAAGCCCTCAGTGATCTAACTTAAATTTTAAAAGAATCCCATTCTTAGAATCTTTGATTCCTGATTTGAGAATGGATCATGAGAGTATAAACAAGAGTGGAAATAGGGAGGTCAGTAGACTGGTGCCATGGGAGTTGTTTAATGTGCTGAGCTGTGAAGAGTAGCTAGATTTTGGAAGTACTTCAAGATGGGCCTGGCAGGATTTGCTGATGAGGGTGAATATGGGATGAGAAGGAGGGATCGAGGATGGCTTCCAAAGCTTTTGCCCTAGGTTCCTGCAAAATTGGAATTTTCATTTACTAAGATGGGAAGACGGGTAGGAGCAGGGTGGAGGTGAGGGAGATGCAGGACTTCTATTTTGGGCTGTGTTAAGATGAAATTCAGGACATCTGGAAAGAAAATGTTACTAAGTGTTACTTCCTCATTGCAGGTGTGACCTTGAGTGCTTCGGATCTGGTCACTATGGTACGAGAACGAAAATGCATATTGTGCCACATTGTGTACAGCTCAAAAAAGGTAATAATAGAAGGGAGAGAATCTGAGGCTTTTATGACCGACCATTTTTTCAGAGACATCATATGGAATTTATAAATGGGTAAAAGCTTTTAACAACATCTCCTTAATGCTCTTTCCTAAACCGTAGTCTTATTTCACTGGTTTCTTTCTAATTACTGCCTTTTGAAGATAGTAACTATATTGTTAAACCTCTACCTGGAATTTGAAGGTACTCAACAGTATGATAAAGAGAAATTAATCTAGTAACCAGTTACAGAGAAAATGCATTAAAATTCAGGCTGAGGTTGTAACAGCTTTCTGATTAGCTAAGGGAATGACGTCGATCTTAGCCTGTGAGTTCTCTGCCTGTGCTTGTGGGAAGCACAGCACAGCACAGTGGTTCTGACTATATTCTCAGACGTCCATAAGGTGGGGATGTTGCTCAAAGAAAAACACTGTTTTGAAAACAAAGAATTTACCTGTGCTTTAAGGAAAATGTCTGCACTTTGTCTCATATTTTGCCACCCACCACCACCCCCCTACCCCCTGCCTCTTATTTTTGCTTTCCAAGAATTCGTCTAGCTTAAATACTGAGGAACTTTCCCTCTGTGCTTTTAAGATGTTCTTGATTGCCATTGGAAATACAGAGAACTAGGAAAGTGATCATGAGTGAGGTTAGCCAGGCAAGTCTGAGTGAACCTTGAAAGATGTTTGGGAGTAAAATGGCTTTCAAGAAATGGAGAAGAGGTGTTTTAGGTGGAATAAAAACACAAGGATTCAGCTGTAGAATGGAGTATAACAGCTCTAGGAGTAGGTAAAAAAGCTTATCTGACCAAAACAGTTTCATCCTGGAAATAATAGGACCACAATTTAATTTGTAAGTTAAGTGAAGATGTATTGATTGCCCCACTGAGGAGTTTGATTGTGATCCATTTAGTAGGCTGGGGGGAAGAATTTTTTTCTTTTTTCCTATTTTAGGATTTCAATTAGTGTTGGGAAAATCAGCTGAGATTTTAAAATCATGTTTAGTAATATACTTGCTGCCTTTACAAATGTAAAAGAACTGCTGTTCTAATTTTAAAAATTTAGACCAGGTTTACTCAAATTTTCAATGAATAAAAACTTTTTGTGCCTACTTTCACTTCATGGCAAATAAATGGGGAAACAGTGGAAACAGTGGCTGACTTTATTTTTCTGGGCTCCAAAATCACTGCAGATGGTGATTGCAGCCATGAAGTTAAAAGACGCTTACTCCTTGGAAGGAAAGTTATGACCAACTAGACAGCATATTAAAAAGCAGAGACATTACTTTGTCAACAAAGGTCCATCTAGTCAAGGCTATGGTTTTTCCAGTGGTCATGTGTGGATATGAGAATTGGACTATAAAGAAAGCTGAACACAGAAGAATTGATCCTTTTGAACTGTGGCGTTGGAGAAGACTCTTGAGAGACCCTTGGACTGTAAGGAGATCCAATCAGTCCATCCTAAAGGAGATCAGTCCTGGGTGTTCATTGGAAGGACTGATGTTGAAGCTGAAACTCCAGTACTTTGTCCACCTGATGTGAAGAACTGACTGATTTGAAAAGACCCTGATACTGGGAAAGATTGGGGGCAGGAGGCGAAGGGGACGACAGAGGATGAGATGGTTGGATGGCATCACTGACTCAATGGACATGAGTTTGGATGAACTCTGGGAGTTTCTGATGGACAGGAAGGCCTGGCATGGAGTGGTTCATGGCATCACAAAGAGTCAGACACGACTGAACTGACTGATGCCTACTTTCAGATTAGAGGGAGAAGGGAAGATGAGAAGATATGAGATGGATAGGCAGCTACTCAGAGGTGTGGTGTCAGACTTTTGTGGAGTCTGTAGCCTATTTTGTTATATCTCACAACTTTTCTGTTTTAAGTCTTTTTGGCATTTCTTCTACTCTGGATTAAAACATGTTTTGTCTCTTCATATTTTTCCATGGGTCATAATAAAGTTAGATAAGAGCTGAGTAGTTAAATCTACTCATGCCTTAGGGAAAGCCAACAGTAGTTTTCTTAAGCAAGGGAATGGCATGATTTAAATGTTAAGATATGATCTAAGAAGTTAATGGGTTAACTGAAAGGGATAAACTCAGATAGACTAAGAACAACTTATGTTGATGTACTTTCCTCTAGTTTCCCAGACTATTATAGTATTACCATGGCTGCTTCAGGTGGCTCAGTGATAAGAATCCTCCTGTCAATGCAGGAGACACAGATACCTGGATTGGGAAGATCCCCTGGAGGAGGAAATGGCAACCCATTCCAGTATTCTGCCTGGAAAATCTCAGACAGAGGAGCCTGGTGGGCTACAGTCCATGGGGTCGCAAAAGAGTCAGACTTAGCACCTACACACACGATTTGCTCCAAATACACTGAGGAGGAGAAAAGAATCTAGGGTTACTGTATGTTACATCCCTGAGTATCCTGATGTTTCTTAGCTTATGAAAGTCTGAGAAGCCCTGGAATTTAAAAATGTTTTTAAAAACTTTTGTGTTACTCATGTTTTCCAAATATTTTCAACCCCAAATCCCAGCCCCCTACTTCCTTCTCCTTTTAAAAACATAAACTGATAAAAGGAACTAAATAGAAGCTTTGTACATCTGCAGGTATACATTTGGAGCTGTGCCTGTAGGTCTTTCCCAATTATTTTGAAAACTCAGTTGTCTCATTATTTGCATTCTTTCCTTGGAGCAGGATGGGTGAGGATTTCACACCTAAATTTAGAAACTTATTATTGAAGTATTCTAGACAATCAAAAGTTACATTAAGGACTTCCCTGGCCTCCAGTGGTTGATTCCCTGGCCTCCAGTGGTTGAGACTCCGTGGTTCCACTGCAGGGGTCAGGGGTTCCATCCCTGATCAGTGAACTAAGATCCCATAAGCCATGTGTCATAGCCAAAAAAAAAAGTTTCCTTAAAACTAGTTTTGAATGATAACATTTTTTATAACTGAAATAGAATATAGAATTGGTTTTTATATCAGAGAGAATAACCCATTTCAATTAATACTCTTTTGGTTAGGAATGGTTTCATTGCAAGAAACAGACCCACTTAAATATAGCTTAAGTAAAGGAGATTTGGCTTATGTTTAGTTTAAGGAAAAATTGAACAAGAGAAAACAAAAACTGAACAGCAAGAAGCATAGGGATTAGAGCAGATGTTGTATATTGTTCTTCACTTTTTTCATTTTCTATCCTGTCACTAAATCCACTCAGTTTGCAGCTCTTTAATTGTTCATTCTGGTTAATGACCAGTCAGTTGTAGCTAGCATGTAATGGCCAATCTTGGATAAAACACTTGTAGAGATAGGAAGGGAATGATGATCATCTTCAATAAGATTGCCATTTAAAGGAAGTGTTTTGAATCACAGCACTGTATTATCACTGTGTATAGATAACTTAAAGAATAGTAGTTGTACTTTTTTTGACAAATGAACTGTATATAATAAAAATATCTCAATGCATAAGGTGCTTGCAGTTGTGGCATGATCTTTGAAACATTGGCTTTGTTGTCAGATCTGCCAGAGTTTGAGAACTAGTTTCACCGCTTGATAATCTGACTCTGCAAGGGCACAGCTGAATATTTTCACATTTATCCTTTTAATGCCTAGCTTTGTACTTAACACCTAATAAGCACTGATAAGCATTTGGTGAATAAACAAGTTATCTTCTCTGTATCCTTGTGTCCTTATGATGTTAATAATCCACTTTTGTGGTTCAAGTGAAAAAATGTTTGAGACACTTCGCAAAGGGCAGAGTTAATAGTAATGCTCAACTTGTGTGTATGTATTAGTCGCTCAGTCATGTCCAGCTATTTGGGACCCCATGGATTCAAGCCCACCAGCCTCCTCTGTCCATGGAATTCTCCGGGCAGGAATACTGTAGTGGGTTAGAATTCCCTTCTCCAGAGGATCTTCCTGACCCAGGGATCAAACTCAGGTCTTGCACACTGCAGGAGGATTCTTTACCATCTGAGCCAGTTTTATATTTGTAAACAGCCATTCTCTAATTATGACGTACTGGCTATATATATATGCTTTGTGTGGCAAAGAGACCGACACTTACAACTTTGAGTTTTTTGAGGTGTGTGAGTGTGTGTGTCACACTTACACATTTAAATGGAAACTCTTGCCATAGATTTTGTTTCCTTCCCAGTGGGATGGGGGTGGGGGGAGGAATCTAGTACATTTTCAAACTTTTTGTTGGAACGAAACACATCAGTTGTTGCAGGCAAGTGAGTGGGTAGTGAAAATGAAGCCATGCTAGAACTGCTGTGTTCAAGGCATTTTTAAAATCTTGATCTACCATAGGAGAATTCCATTATGTCTGTAACTTCTGTCTAGAATTGATGTATCCATCTGTTCATTCAGCAGCTATTAATAAATATATGTCAAGCCCTGGCCAAGACATGGATAAGAGTTGTACCATACTCTTGAGAAACTGTCAGTTGAGTGGGGAAAGAAAAGTAGCCAAGTGGTTGAGAAGTTATGTGATTTCAGGCATTTTTGTTGTTTTTTAATAAACTTAAGTAAATACTTCATAAGGGATAGAATTTTACCTGTTCGCTTATTATTTAGTCTTTTGCCTCCTAAATACAATAAACTTTTTAACCTTTTTGGAAAGCCACTTAAATAGGTCTTTTAAAATTATTGCTTTATTTAAAAATAAAATATGTCAAAAACAGGCTAAAGAGTTACTTAATAAGGAAATGTTTTCAGTATTGAATTGTGAATAGAAACCACAAACACCAGTTTAAGGCAAAGAGCTTGAGCCCTGATTGTTGATTAAATAGGACAGAGAAATTTTTTTCTCCAAAGCAGTCCCCCTTAGTTTAATCTGCTTTCTTTAATTTTGAAGGAGATGGATGAACACATGCGGAGCATGTTGCATCACAGGGAACTTGAGAACCTGAAGGGCAGGTATGGAACCTTTCTCTTCCATAAACTTGTGGATGTGGAGGAATCTGAGGGCCTGTTAACTTATTTTATAGTAATGCTTCAAAAGTGAATGTTGTCTTATGGCCTTGAACTGTCTTTTGGAATTAACAACAACTAAAATAGCTTTTTGGGTTTTTTTTTTTAAATTCAAGAAGGATAAATTGTACATCTCAAATGTGTAGAATTCATAACAACTTTGGCAAATAGATTTGGCAAAGGTGGGTGGGGATGAGCTAGTTCTGTCATTAGTAAGCTTTCTCATTCCTGCACACCAGCTTTGCAGCTAGGACATTTCATATTATTGCCTAACCAGCTTGCAAATTATCACATGCCATAAACCTTTACTGGTTGTTGGAATAGTCTGAGAAGTCCAAAGTCTGCTAAATAGCACTGAATCTCATTAGTGTAAATAAAATCCATGTATAAACCTGTATTTAAGAATGCTGTTTTGTCGGGGTCCTTGGCTAAGAGGAGACTGCCTTGGGCCCGCCGGTGTAATAAACTGCACTCCACTTAAAAAAAAAAAAAAAAAAGAATGCTGTTTTGTGAATTAAAGCTTGAGATGTTTAAGGAAATTAAGACACTAAAGGTAGCATGTATGTATATTCCATGTGTTTTTTCCCAACTAAGTTTCTGTTTTTTGATGTTTTGAATGTATGTGAATTGTTTGGAGACAGTATGAAACAGAGAAACTTTGAAAAACAAATAAGAATTATACCTTAGTCCATGAATAATGGTTACAGACTTTGATCAGGATGCCAACCTAGGTCATTTGGAATTACCTGTATTTTAAGTAATATAGTTCTAGGTTGTATGGGCAAATTAATATGTTATTGAACTTTCAGCATCTGTTTAGCATGTGAGAGGAATTTTTCTGTGGTCTCAGTCCCTTACTGTGTGAAGTTTAGATATTCACAGCCGTGTAAAAGAGGTGTTCAGGCTTCTTGCCCTCTGGGATGGCCACACTCTTTCTGTGGAGTGTGTTTCTCTCTAAATAAACCCACTTCTTACCTATCAAAAAAAAAAAAAAAAGATGTTCACTCAGATTTAGTGTGGAGAACTCTTATAATATCTTGAACATATATGATCTTTAACTCATTATCATAGGAACCTATGAAATACAGTCAACCTTTGATTACCTATTTGTGGATTGTCTTAATTATTTGATCCCATTTCCCATTGACTTCCTTCAGGAATTCACCTTTTTCTAGGCTACTCAGTACCTGTATTGTGTTATGAAATGAAACAAAACAAATGAGGCCAGTAAGTCTAATCATTAGGAGAGAAGCCCATTTTTTTCTAAGGGAATGCCTTGTTTTATTAAAAAATCACCAATCAGCTAATTAAAACATTTAAAACTTTTTTATAGCTTAGGATTCATGTTCATAGTCAATACAGAATCATAACGAGTAAAGAAAGTAGAGGCCCTTTCACTCCCTCCCCGTCTTCCTACTCCAATCTTAGAGGAAAGTCAACAGTGTAGTATATACCCTATCCAAACCTCTCTTCTGCGTGTAGACAGGTTTATATCCATTTGTTCACACTCATGTACGTATGTTTTGATTTTGTTTTGTCATTAACAGAACTGAACTACATGCCATACACATATTGTTCTGTAACTTGGTCCCCTCTCCTCCCACTTGTCAATTTAATTGTGCCATGGAGATTTTGTCTACTGTTTACAGTTATTTGGAGCATAGTCAAATAATCAATAAGCATTTGAAGCCTTTGAACTGACAATATTAACGTCAGCATTAGCACCCAAACTCATTTAGAGGAGGGTACTTAATTTACTCATATATTGGATACAGTGCTATCAGGTTTGGAAACAGGTTTGGTATGGTTTTCTGGCCAGTAGTAAATTATAAGGGAGAAGGCAAGTAGGAAAAACAGCTGGCAAAGCTATAAAAAAACAACAGAATCTCAAACATCATTTACTGACTTGGAACATTTATTATCATGATGAACAGTCATCACTAGTTTGTACAAAAGGGACAGATAGTTATCAGTCATCTTTTTTCTTCCTTTTCAGTTTGTGATTATTTCCTCTGGATTTCATGTTTAAGAACTGGCTTTCTGATGTTAAGTATCACTTAATTTTTGGTTGTGATCTGGTTAAGAAATGTAAAGTGAAAGTTGCTCAATTGTGTTTGACTCTTTGCGACCCCATGGACTAATACAATCCACAGAATTCTCCAGGCCAGAATACTGGAGTGGGTAGTCCTTCTCTTCTCCAGGGGATCTTCCCAAACCAGGGTTTGAATCCAGGTTTCCCGCATTGCGGGCGGATTCTTTACCAGCTGAGCCACACATAGAAATGTAAAGAGCCACACACAGAAATGTAAAGAGCATATTATTTACTTTTTGAATGCTGGCTTGCTGAGAAGTGAGTGCCTTATTTGGTTCACAATTGGAGACATCAGGAACATTTCCCTGTTTTTTTTTTCTAATGTACTTGTTCAGATGTATAGCCTGTAAGTAGTTTCTACAGATAGATGCTATTAAAATGGCACAAACCTTAATTTATCAACCAGCTGTTGTGGTATAGATAGAGCAAGCTTAATAAAGAGGAGCTTATGGATAGAATATCTGAAGGCTTTGCCTTTCACATATGAGAGGAAATTGTGTGGTAACAGGATGTAGCTAATTTGGGCCCTCTGTTAAACACTCTGAGGAAAATTATTGCCTTTATTAGTCTGGAAGTACAGCAGTACTTTTTTCCCAACAATTACTTTGTATACTATATGAAGTAGTATTTTAGCTGTTTATTGATAAAGAATTGGAAAATAGCATTGTTAAAATGTTATTTAATTTGCTATTAACTTTAAAGAGCATGTGGTTTCCCAAACACCCTATTTGGAAGCTCGAATGCATATTGTAATTAATATACTTAACCTCAGACATAGACACATTGGAATTTTTATGAGATGTGGTCAATCTGTCCTATTCTTTCCAGTATAAATGTAGATTCTTTCTTTCCTCTTTATGAAGTTTCTTGTAAAGTTTATCTCAAAAAAAGGAAAAAATCCCCAGAAACCTGATTTCATTTCTAAGAAAAATGTTAGAGATTTCTGTGTTCTGATAAATGCTTTTTAGTGCTAACTTTTACGTTGCTCTTATTGCTGTACCCATCTGGGTAGGATCTTGAGGTCTTCTATCAAGTATTCATAATTATGGCTAATACACTTTCTGGCAATGAAAGCAAAAATGTTTTAAATATCTGTGTTTGAGTATTTGATGCATATCTAACATAATTGTGCTTTGGAAATTGCAAATTAGGTTTGTGGTTATGGATATTTATTTTTAAGAGTTAATTACTATCTACTTTACATTCCTTAATATGTTAAAAAGCCAATGTGGTCTTCCAATTATGTCTTTTAAGGAAGGATTTTGATGGCTTGGACATATGAAAAATTCTCTGCAGGAATTCCTTGGCCGTGCAGTGGTTAGGACTCAGGGCTTCCACTGCAGGGGGCATGGGTTCCATCCCTGGTCAGGGAGCTAAGATCTTGCAAGCTGTAAGGCACAGCTCCCCCTGCCCCAACACCGCCCCCCCCCCAAAAAAAAAAAAACCCTCTGCATTTTCTTTTTTTTTTAAACTCTGCATTTTAGAAGTAAGAAAAAAAATCAGGGTTTTTATTTAAGCATACCTTTTAAATGAAGTCCCTTGTACTGCAATATAGTTTAGTGTTGTATACATTTTTAGGTAGAAAAGTGGACTAAAAACATATTCCAGTTGTAGAGAGATTAAAGCCCAAAAGATTTTCTAACCAGAAAATTGAATTGATCTGAGTTGTTATTATAGGGGAAATTATGTATTCTAAATTTGTTACAGTCTTCAGATTGTTCTGATGCTGCCTTTTGGGGATAGATTTCTATTTATATATTCATTTTAAAGTTCGTTCTTTGTTGCTGTGAGAAAAGACTTGCTTTCTGTTACAAGTTACATTCATGAACTACCATAATTTTAGTTGATGAGAGATGAGTGTGGTAAACTGGAGAAAGTTGAGGATTATTTTTCTTTTTTTAAAGTATATAATTGTAGTAAGTACAATGGAATACTCTGAAAATAATATATTTAAGTTCCTGGAAAATTAGAAGGAATTAGTATATAGATATTCAGGGTAATTCGAGTAATCTGGTCAGAACTCATTAAAATGAATGTTAGTGTCATAGACTATATTGCATTCAGAGCATTTAAGTTACAAATTCAAAAAAAAAAAAAGGAAGCCTCCGAATTTTCTCCATTTTTCTGAGGTGTTTTTTGTGATAGGTACAGAGTGAAAAAAACAGCGTTTTTTTTGTTTTGACTTATTTGGCATTGTTTATTTATAATTTGTCACCGTTAACCATATACATAGTTTTTTGCCTGGAATTTAGTAGTTGCTCGATAAGTTGTTTTTTGTTTTTTTTTTAATGAATGTTCAGATGATCTGTGGCAGAAACCATCTTCTAGTAAATGGGGGGCTTTATTTTGAGGCTCTCTTCTGGTTAGCTGAAATGAATTCTGCCCATGTATGGATGGATATGAGGGAAAAGAGGAAGCAGAGTCATGCTTGTGTGTCTGTGTCTATCTTATTAAAGACAACATGTCTTTTTGTGTCTGTGTTTGTGTATTTTTATAGAAGGGCATAGGAAGTGCAAAAATATCACTAGTATTAACCCAAGACAAATGATACAGAGATAAGCCAATTTGGATTATTGAGTGGACATTACTGTCTATTCATTACACATGTACCCATGGTGTTCTGATGTTTCTCATAGTGACTGCATGGATAGCTGAGCTGATTAAGGGACTCAAGAAGCTAAAAATGCATTTAAATTGTTCACCTACTACAGCTCTGGTCATTGATTCAAAACTTTGGCTTCTTAAACTGGCCACATATGAGATACATTATTAAGTATGTAAAGTAAAAGAAGAAAAAGCCTGCTCAATTATCTTTCTTAACTGAGAACCTGGTTTTACGTCTCTTTAAATGGTGTTCTTTTCTGAAACCTGAGAGAAACCATTTGCCTAGCACAGCTGTTAACTTCCTACAACTGAAATGCTTTCCATTCCCTTTAAAATAAACCCTTCTGAAGCAGAATGTAGATCACATGTATCATCGAGACCAAAAAAGTTTGCTGAGACTACTCCTATCATTTGTCCTGGAGTCCGGAATCTTCACATTCCAGGCAGAGCTCCAGCTGTTCCGCTTTAGTTACTAGGCTGTGATTGGCTCTGCCTCCTACTCTTTTCTCCACCCCTTACTTTTTACTGGGAGAAAGCTTTTGAGCCAGAGATTAAATGTGAGTGCTGTCACCAGGATTTCTGAGTGCAGCTGGCATCATGGGTGTGCTCCAGAGCAACTTCTGTTTGCTCTGAGCCCCCTGCCCTGCCTCCCCTTTCACCACGTTTCCTCTGGCAAGGTTTTAAGTACAGCAATTCAAGAAGATTTCTCCTAAACTATATTATTCTGAAGTGTATTGCCTCTTGATTGCTGGAAAAGAATCTTTAATTCATTTCAAAAGTAACTTATGAACAAACTTATTAAAAGTGATGAAAGGAGCATTGAGATTGATTAGCACTAATTTTTCACTGTGCCAAAGTGTGCAGTGTCTTTCAGAGGAAACTATAACAGATCTGGTGAGTGTGCCATGCCAGTGGGGAGCATTGAATGTCCCTCATCTCCCTCTTTCCCTAGGGACAGTAGTCATGAGTGCCGAGTGTGCGGGGTTACTGAAGTGGGTCTTTCTGCATATGCAAAGCACATTTCTGGCCAGTTGCACAAAGATAATGTTGATGCCCAGGAAAGAGAAGATGATGGAAAGGAAGAAGAAGAGGACGATTATTTTGACAAGGAACTCGTTCAGTTAATAAAACAAAGGAAAGAACAAAGTCGGTGAGTAATAATTTGATATTTTTAAAAGCCTGTGTGAAACAGTGTAGGAGAGAATTTCCATTTCCATTCTTTTCAGCCTGTAGCATTCAGATTTATCTTTTTTTTAATTTAATTTAATTTTTAATTGATTTGCAATGTTGTGCCACAGATTTACCTTAATTATAAAGTTTACCTTGAAGTTGCCATCTTAATCTTAAAAGGCAATGGAATGCTTGCTTGAACTACTGTATTAACTCCTTAAAAAAAAAAAAAAAACCTCAGTATTGACCCTATCTAAAAACTAGCCATAGCTGTTACATATCTGAAATTTTTACCATGCTGATAACTATGTTTAGAATTGTTTGTATTAGTTCCAATTTGGGGTGGGGGGTACCAATAAATTCATGTTTGGTATCTGAGTTTTCTAGTGGAAGGATATTACTAAATAAGTTTCACTTGAATATATTATATAGCATTTCTTATTTCATGCCTTAGGAAAAAATCGTTTGCCTAATGTGAATTAACATGGTGCTTCTAAGTTTGACTTATCCTCTTATTATTAATTTCTTCAGTAAATATTTCTTGAATAAATTTATGCTGTATATTAGACAGTGTCAGAAACAATGTAAGTTTTATAGCTTGTACTAGATGGTTTCATACCTACATACATTATTTAGGTATAAGCCTTTTGTATTTTAACCTTACTGATTCGTGGTCTAAAAAGTTTAATGAAGCAGAAAATTTCAGATATGAATAAAAGATAAAATACCAGTTATGAGGTGGAGTGATTTTTTTAAGTTCCAGAACATGATAAAAAGCATTTCAGATTCTAAAAATCTTAAAGATCCTTCTAGAATACGTTATACCTGATCTGTATTTCATTTTCAGTTAGAATTCCGTTTGAATATAAAAAAGGTAGTTGTTATTCTATATGCTAAAAGCTTTTTGAACGGGTCTTTGAAATGGACTTTCTTAGTTTTGGAATGTCCATAGCAGCATGATTCTTAAATTGTTTAGTTGCTTATCCTTCAAATGACATTCTCACTACTTTTATATAGCTGCAGTTTACTCTTGTTTTAGGGCGTTGGGGCCTCTAGAAGACTAACTTCTATTTTTGTTCTAACATTCTTGTGCCATTATTAGCTTATCTGTGTAAATGATTAAATATTAAGTCAAGAGAGTAAAAGCTTCCCAGTAAATTAGACATTCATATTGCAGTCCCTAGTCTTTGATTATTTTAATAAGCCTCTTTGGTGACATACTTATAAAGTCATCTACTTGTTCATGAGGTTTTTTCTTTTTTTCGTCATGAGGTTTTTAATTTAGATTATTCTTTTTGAGCTGTGAGTTTAGCTACATGCTATTGTCCCATGATAATCTAAGAATTTTACTTTGTGACTGACTTATTGCCCAATTCTCATTTCTGGATGATGTTAGTAGACCTAATCAGTGATCTCCTTGGATGTTAGAAGTTGCATTCAGCTTAGAAACAAAAAAAGCAAATTGGTTAATGGTGGTATAAAAATCTACCAAGTGAAAAAAAAAAAAGAAAAAAAAAAATCTTCCAAGTGTCGTAGGAACACTTGGGGACTTAGGATCTCCTGTTTAGCAGTAGTTGTAATTCATAATGTAAGTAGATGTTTGAACTTTAAGGTGAATTAGCTTTTATCCTAAAAGTGAAAAACAGAAAAACTCCAATTTGTGTCCAAAATCTTAGAGACATTAGAAGCTATTAAAGTCAGTACTGAGTTTAAAATTTAAGTCAGGTTCAGATTCAGAGGAGGGAACCCACTTGCAGAAACTTTGAGGTTTTCATTGTATCAAACTTCAGGTTTTGAGATTTTCGTTCATATCAAGGTCTAGTGGTCAAGAGTATGGGCTCAGTACAGTTATGGTTGCCAATGGGGAGGAGGATGGGGAGAGATGGATTGGGAGCTTGGGATTAGCAGATACAAACTGTTACATATAGAACAGATAAACAACAAGGTCCTACTTTATAGCATAGGAAACTATGCAGTCTCCTGTGTTAAACCATAATGGAAAAAATATGAAAAAGAATATATATATGTATGTATACATATATAAATGAATCACTTTGCTTTATAGTAGAAAATAACACATTATAAATCAACTATACTGTAGTTTGAATGTAGGCTCTAGAGTTAGACTGCCAAAGTTCAAATATTTGCCATAACACTAACTAGGTATCTTACTCTAGGCAAGTTATTTAACCTCTCTAATCCTCAGTTTCCATATCTAAAAAGTAGAAATAATAATGCTTGCTGCAGAGTTGTGAAAATTAAATGAGATAATCTTTGTAGTGTTTAGCAATGAATGCCTTATGATTAGTAGGTACTCAGTAATTTTAGTTAATATTATTCAGTTTTTTGAGCACCTTACCACATATGAAGCATTGAGTTAGGCAAAACATAGGTACTTTTTGAAGGAAAATGGTTTTATGCTGGCTCCCATGATGTTTGCTTAAATTTATTCACATTTCTGTGGGCTTCTTGTCTAACATGAATAGTTGAAACAACTGTAGCTTATTTTAAAAACCTCTGGCTCATGAAACTCCTTACGGCATTTACTGTAGATGCTACTTGCTTGTTATGTACTATTTTATTCCTGTTTGTGACCTTACTTATTTCCTTAGCTAGGTTATAAGCCCTTCAGAAACAGGAACTATGCATAAAAGTTTTCTATTACTACTAATAGTCATTGAATGTGTACTTGATAAAGTGTTTATTAATGAAAGTTATTATGCAGAGTAAAATCTTACCATTTAAAATAGGCTAAGAAACTGGGTTTTCAGAAAGAACAAACTTTTGAAGAAATCATGATATTAAGAACAGCTGGATTTAAATTGTGTTAACTATGATAATTAACCATAGCTACAAAGTATACTTGCTTCTCTTTTCTAAAAGTTGTGTAATATAAAAATAATTGGACAATAGGAACACAATCCTCAAATATGCTAAAAAAACAGGAGCAGGAGAGGAAAGATAGTATAAATGTGCCAAGTTTTTAATATTTTGGGGTTGATAAATATAAGATTAATTTTAAATCAATAAATAGTGAAATATAAATTTATATTATTTAGAGATATGAAAACAATCACTATTTGAAATAAAAATAAGACTATTACATATTCTAAGTTACATATTCTAAGTGACAGAGGAAGAAGGCAGAGGGCACGTTTGGTGGGTTATGCCTTTAAAGGAATCATGAGAACTCCTTTAAATCACTAATAAAAGACTGTTTTTCTTCTAGACAAGATGAACCTTCCAATAGCAGCCAAGAAATAAACTCTGATGACAGGCGACCCCAATGGAGACGAGAAGACCGAATCCCTTACCAAGACAGAGAGAGCTACAGCCAGCCAGCACGGCATCATCGTGGGCCTCCTCAGCGGGACAGGAAGTGGGAGAAAGATGGCTATAGTAACACTAGGAAAAACAGCTTCACACATTCTTCAAGGAATAATGGTGGATCAAGAGGATGTTCTGGGTGGCATAAGGGTAGTGCAGGAGGTTCCTCACCTTGGTTTCACAACCATAGTAATTCTGGAGGTGGTTGGCATTCAAATAATGGGACAGTAGATTGGAATCATAATGGTACAGGAAGGAATTCCAGTTGGCATTCTGAAGGAACAGGTGGCTTTCCCAGTTGGCATACGAACAGCAGTAACGGAAATTGGAAATCCAGTGCACGTGGTACAAATAGTTGGAATTACAGTGGCCCCGGAGACAAATTTCAACCGGGCAGAAACAGAAGTTCTAACTGTCAAATGGAAGACATGAATATGCTCTGGAATACAAAATCTAAGTCAAACAAATACAATCAAGACAGATATAAGTGGCAGCGGCAAGAAAATGACAAAGTTGGTGCAGTTGCCACATACAGAGGTCCTTCTGAAGGATTTGCAAGTGGTAAGTTTCATTCAGAAGGCTTGCTTGACTTCAATTTTGAGCAGCTGGAAAGCCAAACCACTAAACAGACAGACACCTTCACTTCCAAAATTGGTGGGAAGAGTATCAGTGTAGCAAGGGAAAAGCTCCGTCGCTGGACTCCTTACCCTTCACAGAAGACTCTGGATTTACAATCAGGAATGAAAGAAGTCACTGGTAATAAGTCAGAAATGATAGATAAGCCTCTCTTTGATTTTAGCTTGATAACCGTGGGAACAAAAGAGCCCCAAAATGATAAAACAGATAATTCTCGAAAACTGAAAACAAAAAAAGAAAAACATACTGGATCTCTTAAACACAAAACCTCTTCTGACTGCACTGCTTCCTATGAGGTGGTGAGAGAATGTCCCATTACAGAAAAACCTGAACAAGAGCCTAATTTAAATAAGACACCATTATTAAAATCCCCACTCCTTCCAACTCCAGGCACTAAATCAGTTCCTCAAAAGCAAGATTCAAAGAATCCCTCACAAAAGACCAAAATTAATTCTTTTTTCCCTGGGGAACACTCAAATCCTTTGACTAAACCCACTGTGGAAGATAACCAGAGTTCTTGCATATCCAAAATGCGAAGTTCAGGTCCTCATGTTTTAAAAGGAAATAATAAAAGTCCACTTGGAACTCAAAGGGATCCAGATGAAAATTTAAGTGATACATTACAGAAAGCCAAAGATGTGCTGCAGTGTCATGAGTCATTGCAAAATCCACTTAGTGCTTCTAAAAGGACCAGGAATTATGCAAAAGCAAGTAGAAATGTAGAAGAGTCTGAAAAAGGATCTTTGAAGATTGAATTTCAAGTACACGCATTAGAAGATGAAAGTGATGGAGAGAGATCGGACACAGAAAAGCATGGGACAAAAATCGAAACCCTGGGTTCTACAGCTACAGAAGTTTTATCCTGCAGTACTCCTGCTGCTGATGAGAAAAGGGGGGATGACCAAAACCTGGAAACATCTAGAAAGCCATCCACTTCCCCATGTAACTCAACAGTTCACCAAAAAGAAACTGAGTTACAAATGACATCTGTAGCCAGCCCACAGTCTGGTTTACTGCTAGATTTGAAAACCTCTCTAGAAGATGCACAGGTTGATAACCCTGTTAAATCTCATGAATCTTATGAAACTGAAGGCTTTGAGAGTTCTAGCTTGGATGCCGAGCTTCAAAAAAGCGATATAGGTCAACCCTCAGGCCCCCTTCTGCCTGAACTAAGCAAGCTTGGATTTCCTGCCTCACTCCAGAGAGATCTAACCCGGCACATTAGCTTGAAGAGCAAAACTGGAGCACACCTTCCTGAGCCAAACCTCAATAGTGCTCGCCGCATCCGCAACATCAGTGGTCATCGAAAGAGTGAGACAGAGAAGGAATCTGGGCTCAAGCCAACCCTTCGACAGATTCTAAATGCATCTCGAAGAAATGTCAACTGGGAACAGGTCATTCAGCAAGTAACCAAGAAAAAGCAAGAGCTAGGCAAAGGCTTGCCCAGGTGTGTGCCTCTTAGTATCCATTTCCTTTTTCTTTTTTTCTTTTAAACTTACCCTTTGGCTGTGGTCAAGAGAATTCTACTTGTTGAGTTTAATTAAATGTTTGCAAAAAATATCTGTTGTAGATGTCTGGTTTAAATACCCAAGAGTGGCTGCTACTCTATAACAAATGGAATAAAGTGTCTCCTAGCAGGGAATTCAGGTTACAAAGAAGCACACCTACTTCTGAGAAATGAAGTGAGGGAAATGCCATCAGAAATCCATCACTTTGGTGATAGGGGCCATAAAGTGACAGCATTACAAAAATGTCTATCTGTAGCTCTGTATTTAACTATAGATCTTAACGAGTGATGCAGCTTTTAGATATAACTTCTCATTACCTTTTACTTAGAACGTATAAATGGTTATCTTTCTGTATCTGCTGTGGGCATTGTATTTGTGATCACAAAATACATTCTCCTGAGTACTTGTGTAATAGTTTGGCTGTTCACCTTACGTTAAGGCACTAAACTTTTCTGAATGGGAAAGCAGTGTTCAACATAGATTTGCTACTTGCAAATCGTCCTGCTATGTTTTAATTATAGAGCCCTCCAGGCTTAAATTTCCATCCTTGTTGAAATAACATATTTATTGTACCTTCTTTTCTTTTCCCATAACTTGTATCATTGAAATTATGATACAAAATTATGTCTGTTGCTTGTAAATGCTTGATGAACACTTTTGTTTGTTTGCTGTTAAAAATTACATACTTACTGTTGATTTAGAGCTCTGTATTAAATAAAACCTTCAGTTTTTATTCCTTCCCTTTGTATATAGCTATGTACAAATATCTAATTTACTAGTTGTTACATTACAATACTTAGAGTTAACTTACTTTATGTTTAGAATTACTAGACTCAGTTCCTTGAGGGCAGAAGCCATCTATTTACATTTGCAATCTCTGCCTAGCAGAGTTTGGGACATTTAAGCGGTGCCCCCTCTCCCAGCTATGTCTAATTGATGATTTTTTTTTTTTCTTTTTCTTTCTTTCTTGAGGTTTGGCATAGAAATGGTGCCTCTAGTTCAAAATGAGCAAGAGGTCTTGGATCTGGATGGGGAGCCTGATCTGTCCGATCTAGAAGGATTCCAGTGGGAAGGTGTTTCCATTTCTTCATCTCCTGGGTTGGCAAGGAAGCGAAGCCTTTCAGAGAGCAGTGTGATCATGGACAGGGCTCCTTCTGTGTATAGCTTCTTCAGTGAGGAAGGCACAGGCAAAGAAAATGAGCCTCAGCAGATTTTTCCACCTAATAATTCATTCAGATCTGCACAAAGTCAAAAACCAAACATGAGCCTTAAGCAGGAAGTGACACCTCTGGCTGCCTCCCTAAGAACAGATGAAAGAACTGAAAATGTTGCTACTCGAAGGCGACATAGCGCGCAATTATCTCCTGACCGTACAATACCTTTGATGCATTTGACAAAAGAGCTGCACAGCCAGGAGAGCGCTCTACTACTTTCAGAGAATCACAATGCCCAGGAGAGTAATGGAGAAGGAAACTCTTTATCATCAAATGCATCTTCAGCACTCGCAAACTCCAGTTTGGCAGATGCAGCCACAGACAGCAGCTGTACCTCTGGTGCTGAACAGAATGATGGCCAGAATGTTAGAAAGAAGCGAAGAGCCACTGGAGTGAGTATGATCTCTGTATGTTTTGTAGAACATTTCATGTGGTGACTTGACTATGATAAGAAAAACTTAATGTTTTCTTGGGTACCTGGGCTTGTGTTTTGCCCTACTCTGGAATAGAAGATTTCTGAGGCTCTTACTTTCATATTTTTGTCCTACTGGTTTCTTTCTTTGAGTAGCTCTACTAAGTTAGATGTAACTGAATATGAATGTACAGTACTGGGAAAATATGAAGTCATCTCTAAAACTAGTCTCTAAGCCAGTGATTCTTTGTATCACCTGACCAAGGAATGAGCCACATTTTCAGCTGTAACTTTATCTGTTTTCATGATGCATTCTGTACTGCTATTGAAGAAAGGTACTCTAGTGTTGTATTTGTAGGGCATGTATGCTTGTTGGACCCAGAACTATTAGGCTTAATAAGGTAGTTTTAATACTATGAGAGTACATCTATATGAGCATAGTCTTAGTCTCTGTTACTTTGTCTTTTGTACTTAAGTTGCCTAGCCTGGTCTTTTTAGAATCCATTACTTCACTGACACTTCTCTTTTGGCACCTCTGATGATTCATATTGCTTAACCCTTTCAGAAACCCTTTCTGTAAAGAAAGAGTTGTTGATAGTAGTATAGACTGGAATCTGACACTCAGAAAAGGACTGTTTCCTTTAATATTGAGACAATATAACAAACTAGTTTAAAGGCATGGGTTGTAGACCTGGATTCAAATTCCATCTCTGCCCTGTTGAACTAGATGTTGTAGCAGATAGTGTTGGATGAGAGATGGATTGTCTTATGACATAGCTGATGTCTTGGGCCTTATCTCACAGACTGTTGAATTTTTTGTTGTAAAGATTTTCTTGCTGAATTCTAAAGTAGAAACTATGAAATCAGATATGTTTTACTAGCTTTTACCAAGGTGAAGTGCTTTGCCCAAGCCCTTGGGCTTTACTACCTCTAGGATGCTAGGGAGGTACTTGACCTTGATTGTATTTTTTTTTTGTCAGATACATTCAGTCAACTAATATCTGAGCTCATATTGTGTATATGAAACTTCTAACTATCCTGATGGTAGCAATCATGAGTAATAATTTATGACTTAGTATTGATTCTTTTTCCCCCTCCTGGATAATGGCCTTTGAATATTTAATATTGTTTTTTTTTTTTTTTTAATCTCCTTAGGATGGATCTTCTCCTGAACTGCCAAGTCTTGAGAGAAAAAATAAAAGAAGGAAAATTAAAGGAAAGAAAGGTATAGTATAGAATATTCTGGCAAAAATAAACTGTTCTTGTATCACTTAAGCCTTTTACAACTTGATATACAAGTGTAGTTTATCAAACAGAGAACACCCATTTATTAATTTATGATATTTTTGTTGCCTTGCGTAAGGGCATAGAAAAGGTTTGATTTTCTACTGTATCCAGTTGGAGCTATAAAAGCAATATGTGATACCACCTAAACCAGAAAGCTGAAATTAATATATATCATGCACAAATTGAGTTCAGTATAAAACCAGAAAGTCTCACCGGGTCTTTTCAGTGGAATGAAGAGAAACAAGACATTTAGTAGAAGTTTTTATCCCTCTTGGTCATTTATAGCCATTTCACTCACTTTCTGAGGAATCTTGGTTGCTTTTCTCATGTAAATTAAGGAGAGAAGTTATTTGTGGAGCTCCCTGACTGATAGGCTTCTATGACTCTTGCCTTTCACTGATTCTCACACCATTTCAGTATAAGATCTAGTGCAGGAAGTGACTGGATGAACTTTGGATGGCTGGATGTGATAAGGCAGGAGTCAAAGATGATACCAGTTTCTAGCTGGAGCAGTTGATGGCTTTATTTATAGAGCTAGAAAACTTTATGAGAGTTACAGGTTGAGGGTAGAAGAAGATGGGAGTTCCCTTTTGGATCCCTTGAGTTAAAGGACTTTAGAGACACCTTAGAAGTATCCAGTTGGTAGTTAGATATGTGGGTCTGGAATTTAGGGGAGCGGTCTTGGCATATTGCATGGGCAAGAGACAGATATAAAATGACAAACAAATACATGTAGTAGGACACTTTATTTCAAAGCTATATTTTCTTCAGGAAAATATATATTATTTTATATTAAATATATTTTTATTTAAAATTTTTATATTAAAGTTATTTTATATTAAAGAACCTTAATATATTAAGGTTTTAATTTTATATTAAAGAGAACTATTTTAAATTAACTAACAGACTAGAAAAATAGGAATCCAGAAGAGAGTGCAAGCAGTTTAGGTTTGGGGCCCAATATAAGCCAAAGCCTTGATCGAAGAGGGTAGTAGATAAAGGAAGATGGGAAGTGAAACCTATAGGAGTTGATTTCCCCAGGGCAGAGGTTTTGCTTGGAAGCGTCATTGTGGAAGATGGTGATTTGGTAAAATGGTACCATGTGATGGTACACTTGAAACCATGAGGCTTGGTCTCTAGCTCTGATAGCATGTGGCTTGACTATGTGATTTGTAAAAAATTTGATGAGTCTCCTTTCAGTGACCTAGTGGGGAGAAAATAAAGGCCTATCCTAGATAATTGATGCAGTTCCCTGGATTATTAAAGAGAAATCTCCAATATTAAACTAAGCCTTATGGTTTCTTTTGACAGAACGTTCTCAGGTTGACCAGCTGCTGAATATTTCTTTAAGAGAGGAAGAACTAAGTAAATCATTGCAGTGCATGGATAACAATCTTCTGCAAGCTCGTGCAGCACTTCAGACAGCTTATGTTGAAGTTCAAAGGCTACTTGTGCTTAAGCAGCAGGTAACAGCAGATGGGATATTTAATGAAAATGGATCATCTTAAAGTTGAATTTAAAAGTGCTTAACAAAATACTTTATTTTTAGATAACTATGGAGATGAGTGCCCTGAGGACCCATAGAATACAGATTCTACAGGGATTGCAAGGTATTCAGAGAGTCTGATGGATTGTACTGTCTGTAACTTGTCTAGAGGGGAATTAAAGTAGTTATGAAAAAGTTAATATGATTATTCTTATGTCTCCTTGATTCCATCCTTCTGTAGAAAGGCCTGTAAGACTATACGTCCCCAAAATGCTTAGCAATAGAAATAGTTATAGAAAGAGTCTTGGGTTAGGCATCCCAAGACTGGGGTACAAATTTGGCTCTTCTACTAGTACCAGCATGACTTTGGAGAAGTCACTTAAAATCTGAAAAATTAGAATATTAATGCCTGCCTGTCCGTATCCTCATTGGTTGTACGTATAGCTTAAGTAACAGTCTATTTTAAAGAACTATGAGCATCTTTAAAATTCTCTTGTAATTTAAAAATACAAGTTGGCTCAGTAATGAGTGGCTTTTCAGATAACATTTTTGCATTTGTATGTGTGTATGTTTCCCATTCTAGAAACATATGAACCTTCTGAACGTCCAGACCAGGTTCCCTCTAACCTTACACGAGAACAGAAGAATGTTAGATCTCAAACATCTACTGATGGCACACTTCTGCCTAGTCCTTTTTTCCCGAATTTCCTGGAACCTCTATCTTCCCACGTGTCTCCATCATCCACTGGAGCCCCTCTCCAAGCAATCACATCTTCTTTCCAAGCTCATGGCAGTGTTCCTGCTCCAGACTCATCAGTTCAGATTAAACAAGAACCCATGTCTCCTGAACAAGAAGAGACTGTGAATGCTGTATCGCAAGGCTCTGCTTGCAGTCTGTCCAAGGAATTACTGCAAGCTAATAGTATGTAAACTTTTCTCTGTGTTAAGGGCAACCCTGTAGTGAGTCTAGGGTAATTTTATACTAGTGATGTAATGTCATACTTGTCCATTAAAACTAAAGTTATTACAGGACTTCCCTGGTGATCCAATGGCTAAGACTCCACACTCCCAATACAGAGGGCCTCAGGAACTAGATCCCACATGCTACAAGTAAAGATTCTGCATCCGCAACTAAAAGAACCCTACATGCCGCAATGAAGATACAAGATCCTGTGTGCCGCAACTAAGACCCCACACAGCCAAATAAATGAATAAATAAATAAATATTTTTTTAAAAAGTTACTATAGTTTTTCTTTAAGTCTTCTTATTTAGGAGCATTATTTAAATATTGGTAACTCTTCCTAATTTTCTCTAATACAGGATTGCTAAATTGACTTTGGGATTAGCATGTAACAGGTTCCATTTATTAGGATTGGTGCAGAATTGTATGTTTTTCATGAGCTAAATGGCATTGAAGTTGTTCAGTCAGTTTTCTAGATAAGATTCATCTTCTGGATTTCTCAGTACTTAACTGTTTTTATCATTTCAAGTACAGACTAAGGTTAATACAGACCTGAGGAACTGGTGGCCATGATGAAAGGGCAGAGGGCTCTGGTGTTTGGAATCATCTAACAGGAACTTGGGGGTTTTGACAAATAGCCAGGGATTTTTACTCTCTTTATAAAATAATCCTTATTTGGTTACCGTTAGAGAATTAACTTCTAAGTTGTTTAAAATCTTATCTAAAGTTTGTATAACCACAGTGGTGCTATATTGAAAAATTAAGAAACAAATTGATATTGTGTGGTATTCTTTTTTTTTTCCAAACAAACACAAAGTCTGAAGAATCATCCTAAATTTTGCTATTTGTTGCAGCACTAATCATTGATATGTACATCAAATATATGTTATCTTTCATATTGAATTTTGTTACTTTTATATGGATAGTATTTAGTATTTTTTTTTAAATGTGGTGACACTTTTTTCAAAAATAGCTTTTATTAGATTTCCTTTTCTGACTGCAAAAGTAACTCATATTCATTGTTTCAAACAAGGAAGAGAAAACATCAGTAGAAACAATCTCTGCCCATAAAAGGAGCTTTTCTAGGATATAAGACATGCACATTATTTGCAAGGCAAAGTGTATAGATACTGTACTAGAAATACATGAAGGTTATGGGAAGCTGAGGAGTGAGATAACTAAACCATGACTGTTAGAGTTGTTAACATATCATCAAAGTGTCATATTATTTGATAGAAATTCGATCAGCGATAACTGTAGTTTATGACTACACATAGCAGGCACAAAGACGATGGAATAATTTTTTTTTTCCTTCTCAATTCAGGAGAGATCAGTGACAATTGTCCAGTTTATCCAGTTACCACTGCAGCATTGTCCTTATCAGAGCTAACAGAGAGATTCCATGAGCCTAGCCAAGAACTGAAGTTTTCTGTGGAGCAAGGAATTACCAGAAACAGAGGGAACAGTCCCTCTTCCCAGTCAGCTGGTCTTCCTAGCATAGATAAAGAAAGCGAAGAGCCAAACAAAGGCAACAGTGGGTCTGAAGCCTGTACCAGTTCTTTTCCAAGATTATCCTTTGCTTCAGAAACCCCTTTAGAGAAAGAGCCCCACTCTTCAGCTGACCAGCCAGAACAACAGGCAGAGTCCACTCTGACATCAGCTGAAGCTAGGGGGAACAAGAAAAAGAAGAAACTTAGGAAGAAGAAAACTCTGCGGGCTGCCCATGTTCCTGAGAACAGTGACACTGAACAGGATGTGTTTACTGCTAAGCCTGTAAGGAAAGTAAAAACTGGAAAGCCTGCTAAAGGGGGGAAAGTGACAACCTCCAGCTGGGAAGATGGCAGAACTGGCCTGGAACAAGAAAGTGTCAGAGATGAGCCAGACACTGACTCATCTCTTGAAGTCCTAGAAGTGCCTAATCCTCAGTTAGAAGTGGTAGCCATTGATTCTTCTGAATCGGGAGAAGAGAAACCAGATAGCCCATCTAAAAAGGATATTTGGAACTCCACAGAGCAAAACTCATTAGAAACTTCTCGCTCTGGTTGTGATGAAGTTAGCTCTACCAGTGAGATTGGCACTCGCTATAAAGATGGCATCCCTGTAAGGTAAGGATACTGTGTTGGTCCAATCAGAGCAGCTTTCACCATTCTTTCATTAGAAAACAGAACTTTTTGTTCCAAATCAGAATTTTTTTTTAGAGTCACATTTATAGAAAATCAGTAGGGATGACGGGTATGGATATCTCCTTAGCAATGGAGAGTTTCTGCTTTCTCACTTGTGTAGTAAATATTTCCTGTTTTTTCCATTCATATAAAAATTTCACATGCAGAAACTGATCTTGTATCATTGGTATTTCGTTCATTGTTTAGAATAATTTTTTGAGTCAGGAAAATACAAGTTTTCCTACCTGTCCTGTTCACACAGATGTTAAGACTTTTGCTATTATTTTGTAGTGTGGCAGAAACTCAGACTGTGATCTCCTCCATAAAAGGATCAAAGAACTCTTCAGGTATTTGGTTGTTTGGTTTTATTTAAATGAATTACAGGAGGGACTTCCCTGGTGGTCCAGTGGTTGAGAGTCGGCCTTCCAATACAGGGGATGCGGGTTGGATCTTTGGTCTGGGGATTTGGATCCCACACATCTTGGGGCAACTAAGCACATGAACTACAGCTACTAATCACTATAGAGTCCATGCACTCTGGAATACATAAGTAAATAAATAAATCTTACATATTTTTAAAAAAATGAGTGAATTGATAAATTAATCACAGGAAAAAAGCTTTGTAAGTATTAAAGCCAGGGTTTAAATCTACTTAAGTATGCTTATAGAGTAGGGGATGGGGACTGGGCTTATTACCAAGAGGATGGATTACTTTGACCAGTAGTTATTGGTATCCCTGAATCCTCAAATCCTGGCATTTCAGTTTCTTACTCACATCTCTAATCTGGATCTCTCGTGTGTTCAGCTAATTAGAATAGTTGGCCTTCTGTGTCTTCAGTTCTGCATCTATGGATTCAACTAATCACAGATCGTGTAATGGGCATTTATTGAAAAAAAAATTTGTGTGTAAGTGAACCTGCACAATTCAAAGCATGTTGTTCAAGGGTCACCTGTAAATGGGAGTATGTATATAGGTTATATGTAAATACTGTGCCATTTTATATAAGGGACTTGAGCATCTGTGAATTTTGGTACATGTTGGGTGGAGGAATCCTGAAACCAATCCCACTTGGTTACCAAGGGACAATTGTATTAAGGTTTTGTTGGCTCGGGGGGTTTGGAGGGTGGTAGGCTTTGCTTTGAGAAGGAATTACTTTAAACATAATGCCTTACTCAGTAAAATAACTGGCAGCAGAGGAGACTGGATGTGGAAAGAAAGATATTTAGTGCCTTAAAGGGTATCATTCAAAGACTCACTATGTAAGTATTTTTCCCCTAAGACAGAGGCCTTCCCTACCTTTTCTTAATATGAAATCTTCATAATGAAGGTCACTAATGAGAATGTGGTGTTTTGCTAGGCGAACCAGGTTTTTAGGAGAATCCAGGGACCACTTTTTCATAATGTTTTAAATTTCTTACTATCTTTTGAGATACAAGCCGACACATTTCTGAAACATACTGTTGTTTTCTAGAAATATCTTCAGAGCCAGGAGATGATGATGAGCCCACAGAAGGGAGCTTTGAGGGGCACCAAGCTGCAGTGAATGCAATTCAGATATTTGGGAATTTGCTGTATACCTGTTCCGCAGATAAAACTGTCCGAGCTTATAATCTGGTGGTAAGTTGATACATCAGTTTGAATGTTTTTGTTTCTTTACAGGTTTTAGAAACTCCCAACTTGCTCTCTTTTAAACATGCGTCTGTTTGCTTTCCAGAGATACGGAGTAGGCTCTAGACTAACTTCAGATACAGTTGATCTAGTGACTCAGTGGGTCACCAGAGACTTAAATTCTTTCTTTCTCTCCTTTCTATTTTCTCTGGTATCAGCTCTTCCTGAAGTAGGTTCTCCTGCTCACAGATGTCAATAGCCACAAGAGTTTCTTTTCCCTCCCACCGCCAAAAAAGGGTCCTGTGCTTTCCTCCCTAACCAGTCACTTGGCAAAAGGAGATGGAATTATAACAATAGGCTAGGTACAGTCAGGTCCCAGCCCTGGAGTAGATGCTGAGGTCTGTCACCTAGTTGTTACAGAAGGGATAGAATGAACATTGGGAAAGTGTCAAAGGAGGCATTTTCCCTGAGAGTTGATGGATTGTGCAAGTTATTAAGAAGAGCAGCAGTCTTTCATTATCCCACACTTAATCTGATACTCGTAACTCTTAATTTTCTTACAGTGGACTTCTGAGCTTTGAGTCTGGTATTTGTGCTTCCCTGGTGGCGCATGGTAAAGAATTCGCCTGCCAATGCAAGAGATACAAGAGACATAGGTTTGATCCCTGGGTCAGGAAGATCTCCTGGAGTAGGAAATGACAACCCACTCCAATATTCTTGCCTGGAAAATTCTATGGACAGAGGAGCCTGGTGGGCTACCGTCCATGGGATGGCAAAAGAATTGGACATGACTGAGCACACACAGGATATCAGTTCAGTTCAGTCACTCAATTGTGTCCTGTTCTTTGCGACCCCATGGACGGCAGCACACCAGGCTTCCCTGTCCATCACTAACTCCTGGAGCTTGCCCAAACTCATGTCCATCGAGTTGGTGATGTCATCCAACCATCTCATCCTCTGTCGTCCCCTTCTCCTGCCTTCAGTCTTTCCCAGCGTCAGGGGCTTTTCAAATGAGTCAGTTCTTCGCATCAGGCAGCCAAAGGATTGGAGTTTCAGCTTCAGCATCAGTCCTTCCAATGAATATTCAGGACTGATTTCCTTTAGGATGGACTCATTGGATCTCCTTGCTGTCCAAGGGACTCAGGAGTTTTCCAACACCACAGTTCAAAAGCATCAGTTCTTCAGCACTCAGCTGTCTTTAGTCCATATCTCACATCCATACTTGAGTACTAGAAAAACATATGTCAAACTAATTCTGTTTATCACCAATGATAGCCAAGAAACTTTAGGAACACTATGTTGTCTGAACAAATACAGTGAAAATATATGAAATTGATGAAGTCTTTGAAAGTCAAAAGAGTAGATGATGGACTGAGAAAATGTGTTTACTATAGGCAACAGGTATATAGGTTCCTTTAGCCTAATAATGTATGAAGGGCAACAGAGATGACTGAAGGCAGAAAGCAATGGTAGTACCAGGAGGTATGAGTGTAAGATTTGGGGAACTGGCTCTAACTCTAAATTGTAAGGTAGGTATAGGTATGTATGTACATTGTAAATATATATAACAGTGTGTGCACAGAGATAACAGGATGTTCCATTATGAAACCACACCTGGGACACTAGGACCTGTGATGGCATGTCTTTGAATATTGTGATGCTTTCTCTACATACTGATCAAATGCAGCAACTTATCTGGGTAATTAGCTATAGTTTGAATTTGCTTGCACTTCAGTCCATATGCTAGAGAGACTTGGCTTAGCATTAATTAAAATTCTGATCTATCTTATAGCAAATTGCCCTGAGTAATTTTTGGTATGGCTCAGTTAACATATAAGTTGCAGATACTTATAAGTTACATATAAGTTAACATATAAATTAACATATAAGTTACAGGTCTGTTCACTAGGCATTCAGTGAACAGGTACTTACTGAACACTAGATACTAGGTACTGTTCTAAACTCTGGAGACACAAACATGAACTGTACGTTTTAGCTTTTTTTTTTTTTTTTTTTTAAGGAAATATGTTATCTTATCCATCTGTATCCACAAGTAATGATCTGAACTGTGCTTGACTTTAGAGTCGAAAGTGCATTGGTGTCTTTGAGGGCCATACCTCCAAAGTGAACTGCCTCCTGGTTACTCAGACCTCTGGGAAAAATGCTGCCCTTTACACTGGTTCCAGTGATCATACCATTCGCTGCTATAATGTTAAGGTAAGTGGGTCCAGAGAAATCAAAAGTGATGATATTGAAGCGCTTTGACTATATTTACTGTGTAGAGTGGAGACACTGAGACAGATGCTTCATTCTGTTCACCTTCTTGCTTTTAAATCTGTTTCAGTACACTTCTAACCTTTGGTAGAAATTAGGCTTAGGTCTAAACCATGTTTTCTGTCTCTGTCCACATATCTTTTCACTTGCTACTATTAATAGTATACCTCTTTTGATCTTTCCAACAAATATTCCTCTTGATTTTTATTTTCATGTCATATGCCAAAATTAATATTAGATAGAAAAAGAAATGTTAAAAGAAGTTTTTAAACTTAAAGACTTAGAAGTAGATCTCTGAGAAAGAATTTTCTAAATGAATTATAAGAAATAAGAGAAAATTGTTTGCATTAAAATATACATATATATACACAATTGCATAATATTTAAAATATAAAAATCAGTGAGCAGGAAAAAATATATACATATATTCTTAACTTTAAAAGACTTAATTATTTAAGAAAATTTATAATACCATGTAGTTAGGTTTTTAATATATATAGGTGAGATATGTGAGATAACAGGAACACAGGAAAGGGAGAGGCTAGAACTATGCTGGTACAAAGTTCTTATATTTTGTTGAGGATAAGTCAATATTAACTTGAACTAGATTGTTACAATTTAAAGAGGTAATCTCTAGAAGGCTGATTCAAAACTTCAGTGTACATTAGTTGAACCTAGAGAGCTTGTTAAAACACATATTACTAGATCGCTCTCCCAGAGTTTCTCATTCAGTAGGGTTGGGAGCGAGCCCAAGAATTTACTTTTCAAACATGTGATACTGATGCTGCTGGTCTAGGTCACACTCTGAGAACAGCTGCCCTAAAGCAACCACAAAAAGAATAATTCAAAGAAAGATAGCTTAAAAATTTAATAGAGGAATTAAAATGGCATACTAAAAAAACTGTTTAATACAAAACAAGGTAGAAATGGGGGAATAGAAATAAAAATGAGACAAATAGCAAATTGGAGTCTAAATCTAACCATGTTTAATAATCATATTAAATGTGAATTAACACTCAAATTGAAAAGGAGATTGACTAGATAAAGAACAAACATCAAAATCTATGCTGTCTACAAGACTCTTAAATTCAAAGACAGGTAGGCTGAAATAAAAGAATGGGGGAAAAAAATGTACTGTTGCAAATAGTGACACAAAGAGCTAGAGTAGTTATATTAATATCAAGCAAATAGACTTTAAGACAAAGAATACTACTGAGACAAGGGTAGCCTTCTATAACGATAAAAGGGTCAATATAGATGACATTCAAGATAGGAAGATAGAACAGTGACCTATCTTACAAGAGAATAACAGAGCACCAAAATATGTAAAGAAATATTGATGGGATTACAGGGAGAAATAGACAAATCCACATTAACAATTCTTTTTTTATTATTTTAGTCACTTAGTATCATTCAACAGCATTCAGTCTTGAGTACTTACTATGTAATTGGCCCCATTCTAGGTAATTAGATTTTATCAATAAAACCCAGTTCTGGAAATTCACAGAAATCATTTTATGAACATCAGCTCAAACTGTGTTTGTATAACCTGTATATTCATCAGGATTATGAAGGAAATTTTTTTAAAAACATATTCCAGGGCCTACTGAGTCAGAATCTCAGGGTTTAGGGGTGAAGCTTGGTGTTCTATATATTTTGAGAACTTTTTGGGTATTTATAGACCAGCTAACCTGATGCTGGTTTAAAGGAGGCATTTGGGAGCTGTTGAAATAGAGAATCAGTTGCAGGAAAGCACATAGTACTTGATTAATGCAATTATCAGATAATACAACTATGATCTTTATTTTCCTTTTTAGACAATGAGTGCAGCTTTTTCTTTGACTACTTAATTTAAGAGGCTAAAACCGAGTTCATAGTGCCCTTTGAAGAATTTCTACATTCCAAGTTAGAAACATAGGTAGCATTATTATAAGTTAGATTTGTTTACTATGTTACCTACAGCCTGAGGTTCTTTGGCCACAAATTTCAAAGCAGGAAACAGTCTAAGATACTCTTCTACAAAATGGAAGATGCAACATTTTCTTCCTCATAAAAAATAATTTCACAGTCTGTTTCACATAGGATTGTTTTCATATCTTATTTGCTTTTAACCTCTACTGATCAGGTGTTGTGTGCTTTTATCAGACTCGAGAGTGTGTGGAGCAGTTACAGCTGGAAGACCGGGTTCTCTGCCTCCACAGTAGGTGGCGAATTCTCTATGCAGGACTGGCAAATGGCACTGTGGTCACCTTCAACATAAAGGTTAGTGGTAGGGGAGAGAAGGCTGAACTCCCATGCCAATTAGAAGTGGTGTGTGTGAGGGAAGAAGTCGAAGACAAGGCCATTTTCCTGTTTTTGTGTGTGTAAGAGAAAGCAGCAGAATTAGCCACTGCTCAAAAACTTACCTTCTGTTGTAAGTGAAACAAAATGCATTCTGTCTGCTCAGGCCCAAGTGTGCCAGGACCAAAGTGTAACTCTACTAAATTAAACCAAGCCTAATGATTTGGGGCCAAATAATGAGTCATGGGTTAAACAAGTTTGTCTCATTTTAACAATGACACCATGAAAAGTGAGCTTAAATTCCTTTGAGTATGACAGTGATGTTGTTTAGAACTGATTTAGGGTTTCATGAAAGTAGCCTGTTCTGTAAACTGAACTAAGTCAAGGTTTGCCTTCACACCCTTGGGCCTCATTCTTTCCTGACCCAAATATAAATCCATTTGTTAAGCAAACCTTTATTGAGCACTGTTATGTGGTAGGTCTCAGGATAAGGCTTAGGAAACGAATACAGGCCAATTCCTGATGGCTCTCTGTGCTTTGTTAGTGTAGTTGAACTTGTAAGCTTTAAAGCATGAATGACGTGATCCAATTGGTATTTTAGAAAAAGTCACTTTGGTGTTGAACAGATTGGAAAATACTGATAGTAGTAGAAGCTTGGAGACCATTTAGGAGGCTTTGTTAGAGCAGCTGACATGTAGACTAAAGTGAAGAGAATGCATAACAAATATAATCAGAGGTAGAAGTGATAGGTGTGGTTGCTAATTAGTTGTGGCGTTCTATCCCAAGGCCATCTGGTCATCTTTTAACAGTGTATTAGAAGTTTACTGTATGCCTAGTTATAGTATCATATGTTTAGTTAGTATCTACTGTCTCTCCTACTAGCTATCTGGAACTGCTTACAAGAAATGCAGTAAAATATGCTATGGTTTCTGCCTTTGAAAAGCTTAGAATCAAGTTAGAAGAAACTAGCCCATATATAATCAAACATCAGGTTATTTGGTTCACTTGATATGAATAGATCACAGAAGAAAAATAGATTTAAGATGTTTTAAAGGCTAAAACTTGATAATTACCCAGTTCTATTTTGTGAGATTAATGTAATCAAAGGTAAATAGAAGTTAGGAGCCAGACTTTTGGGGCAAAATGATGAAAAATTCAAATGGGAATGATCTTTAGTTTTGTTTTTTTTTAATGGTCTTTAAATGGTTGATAAGCCCCAGCAAAGATGGACTTTGAGACAGATTTGAGAGTTTCTATGGAGGTGTGAATTTTGAATCCTTGTTAGGGCTGGACCTTTTTTCTGTTTTGCCCACACTGCTGGAATGCAGTTGCTTCCTGGGGCTCATCAAAAAGCCAGGGCTGTTGACCTTGGCCTGTCTACCTTTGGGCCCTTTCATCTATCTCCCCAGCATTTTAAGATGGCTGAGATTGAGGTTCCCAGCTGCTGCTCTTGGCTAGTCTCTGGGAGTTTTGTCTTATACTTGCACCTAAAGTACCTTTTTAGAATTTTGGGAAAGTAGGAAACTATGAACAAGATTGGTTTGGGAGTAAGGAAAGCAAGTCTAAAATCTGAAGTAAAGGCATGTTTATCCACATCCACATTCAGGATGTGACCATGCTACACTGACTGATGTAAAGGCTTCTATAGTTTAACTTAATGTTATGAGAGAGAAACATGGAACCAGAGGTCAGAATAAGGTCAGAATAACAGAAAGGTGGAGAATGAGAAGCTGTTGTCTAAGAAAGTAGTTCTCAAAGAGAATTTTGGAAGCAACCATGACAAATAGAGTATATACATTTTGGACGACAAAAATCAGACTTCTTGGGTCTTTGGCATGGAAAATGTACTCAAATATGGAAAAAAGATTTCTTTCATGTCACTGACTTAAGGGAAGTGAGAGAGGACATAAAAAGAGAACCAGATTCTAATTATGATCAGGATAGCATGGGTCAAAGATAGAAACGAGTTTATAACGTAAAACTGTCCCCACTAGAATGGAGGAAGAAGGTGTCATGAATACAGAGAGTGTTGGAATGGGGATGGCAGAGGTTGGGGAGTTAGGGATACAGAGTGGATATGAAAACTTACAGATAGGTGTTAGAATTTAGAGTTTGTATCAAGGTAGTGATTTGGATTAGTTGATGCTGAGTTTTTCTAACTAAGTGGTTTTTACTTCATGTAATGGTGGCTTATTTTTCAGAGCAACAAACGACTTGAAATCTTTGAATGCCATGGCCCTCGGGCTGTCAGCTGTCTTGCCACAGCTCAGGAAGGTGCCCGAAAGTTGCTGGTTGTGGGTTCTTATGACTGTACCATCAGTGTACGCGATGCACGGAATGGATTGCTCCTTAGGACTCTGGAGGGCCACAGCAAAACCATCCTCTGCATGAAGGCAAGTATAGAACAGGAGTTCACTGTCTGGTGCAAACAGAAGAGTTCAAATGAAATTTCCCATGTTTTCTAGCGCGTTATTTAGAATACAGGAGGTTACAATCCTTTTCCTTAGGCCTGGAATCACCACAGGGCGTACTGTGTTTTAGCATATTAATTGAGAGACAAATATCTTATTGTCGAGTGTAGATATACTCAAATGCTATTCTAAGCTACTTCATAATCATTCCAAAGAAGCAACAAACCCAATAATATGTTGTCAGTTCATCAGAGTACTTAGTGGCAGCACATAAATTTCAGTTCAGAAAATTTGTCTGAGAAACTTATTTTATACCTCATTTCATGCTCATCTCAAAATAGGGTGGAAAGTAGAATTTGCCAATGTATATTACAAGTTAAAGGAAACCTCAGAACTTTATACTGAATCTCACTCACCGAATTTTTTTTCTTTAAGGTGGTGAATGACCTTGTGTTCAGTGGCTCCAGTGATCAGTCGGTCCATGCTCATAACATTCATGTAAGCCTTGTTGGTGTATCTTTAATAAAATGGTGGATAAAGCTTGAAGGGATTCCTTTGACCTCTTGCAATTTAAATTAAGCCTCCTTTCTAGTGAAAGACTTAATAATAATCCCTGTGCATAAGCACTGTAGAAATCAAAATTTTTCGTGGGGGACAGACCAAAAGTTTACGTCAGGTTTAGTTTGAATGTCTGATTTAAATGTGAGACATACTCAACATCTGAGGCTCTGAGAAAGTAGATATGATATATAGTTTAAAATAGCACAAATAGAAACAGCCGTGAGACTCTGCTTGGGTCATAGAGGCCACTTTTCTTTTTTTTTTTTTAGTTCTACCAGTTTATTACTACCAACCCATCTCCCTCCACTCTTGTGCACATATGCTAAGACATGTAACCCCACGGACTGCAGCCCGCCAGGCTCCTCTGTCCATGGACTTTTCCAGGCAAGAATACTGGAGTGGGTTGCCATTTCCTTCTCCATAGAGGCCACTTTTGAAGTTCAGTTCCTAGTCTGAACTTCTGAGGTTATTCAGCCTCAGGAACTTTTTGTCCAGATCCAGTGAAATGATAAAAGTGAATATACTTCAGACACTAGAAAATATATACATACAGAGCTGTGGCCCTTCTCTCTCTGTAACACTGGGTTCTCTCCATCAGGATATAGTGCATAGAAGTGTTATATAAGTAACAATTGCTTATGAGAACATGTCACCTGTCTAAAATTCATACAGCTACATGTGTGTACAAGTAGTCTCATCATTACCTCTTTTAGAATTACAGAATTATAACTCTCAGAAGTCAAGACTCTTAGAAATCAGTCTAGTGACTCTTGTCTCTCTTCTGATGCAGACTGGTGAGCTTGTCCGGATCTATAAAGGTCACAATCACGCAGTGACTGTGGTGAATATCCTAGGGAAAGTGATGGTGACTGCTTGCCTGGATAAATTTGTTCGTGTCTATGAGTTACAGGTAGAATTTAGATATCACTATTTTGTTTGAATGATTTGGAGAGATGGTCTGTTTGGATTTGGTGTTTGTTTTTGTTTTTAATATGGAAAGGCTGGGGTGGAACTCAGGAATCTGTGTTCTTCGTAAGTATTGTAGATAATTATGAAGTAGTTTGGTCCTTGGACAACACTTTCAGAAATACTGCCCTGAGATACCTGGTCAGGTTCACAGGTGTCAAAATTTAATGGTTTCTGGAGGGCAGCTCTAGCCTGTCACATCTGTGTGGTTTTCTGTGTACAAGTTCAGGTTTGAGACTTTGACACTGCACAGAAATTGGTGGGGGTTTTTTTCCCCCAATTACCAGCTCTTCCCTTGAGGAGGAGGACTTATTAAAAAGATTGCTGTTCAATTATGCTTCTGTTAACAAGTGACTAGTGCTTCAGCTTAATACCTCCGATACAGTTTTAAACTTGCAAAAGCCTTCCAGGACTATGCTTTTTAAACACAAGGTATAAATAACCTTCATTCTCTTTTCTTTTTTCCCCCCTGCCCCACCTCCACTTAAGTCGCATGATCGATTGCAGGTTTATGGAGGACACAAAGACATGATTATGTGTATGACCATCCATAAAAGTATGGTGAGTTTAATTTGCCATGCCACATATTTGCCTTTGAATGTGTTTACTAAAAATTCTACAGACTCTTAGTAGTGTTACTACTTGTTACTTCCAAAAATGACATCTGTTTTTGCTATGCCTCATTATTGAATGTTTTCTATCTCTTGGTATTATAATACTGAGAAGTAACCCAGTAGTGCTCTTGAATATTCCATTTTTATTAAGAACTAAAATAGTTACAATAAAAAAATATAATACCACCATTAAATAGAAGGTAAATTTAAGGTATTTCCAGAAAAACAGGTGAGTGGTATTTTTTTCAGAGACATTATGATCTGGACAATACATTGGAATAGAGTCAGGAGATTTGGTCAGTGTGGCATAGTTATAGCAGACCTAAAAGTAGAAGCTAACTCATGTAACCCTACTAATCCTTGATTTATTTTATTTTTAAATTTTGAGGTTGAGCCAGAATGGATATTTTTCTAACTTTAAGCAATAGAGCCTTTGTCCCAGTGAAATTCAGAAGCCTGATATGTAATGCCCAGCAGAAGCCAGAGCTACGCCAGTTAAAATATAAGCAGTGCCTCTGAGCCCTACCACTTCTGCTGTAAACAACAGTCCAAGGAGTGGCTTTCTAAGGAGCATAGCTTCCAAGTATCCAGACTAGAGGATGTATAAGATACTTTCCTATTATGGTACTCTGGCGCTGGTTTGGGTTTATGGTTATAGTTTCCTGTTGTAGTGCTGCCAGCTTTTGGCTCTTACTTTGAGGATGTTCATAGTATTTTATTGTGTGTTGTTTTGGTCTGATAATGATAAACATTTTTCTCTAGATTTATACTGGCTGTTATGATGGCAGTATTCAGGCCGTGAGGCTAAATCTGATGCAGAATTACCGCTGCTGGGTAAGGATTGAAACTGTTCTTGTCACCAGACTTAGATGTTGCCCAACCGCAGGCCAATTTATAGATTTTCATATCATTGGTTTAACATTTTCATATTGAGTCTTCCACCATAGGACAAATAAGCTTATTTTTTAAAAAGTACATAAAATGCTTCTATAATTCTATAGTGAAAGTTCATTCTTAAGGTTAGATACAAACTATGTTTAAGTGTCCATTCAGAGGTTATTTCCTTTGTGTTTTTTATTTTGCTTTATTATTATATTAATGCATGCCTACAAAAACATCAATAGTACAGAAGTATGTGAAAGAAAAATGGAAGTGCTTATTTTCATAACCTGCCTACAATATTTTACCCATTCCTCAGACATTTACATGTATTAGTAGTTTGGTTTGTTCATTGGTTTTTGAGAAATAGACAGATAAAAATTTGCACTCTTGAAGTTCTAAACCTCAGTTCACTAGACTAAATTTCATGGTTTTTATTTTAGAGTGGAGGATGGTAATTTAACCTCAAAACTTTCACACTGTTTCTTATAAACCTTAATTTGTTTCATCAGTTCTAATAGTACTGACCAGAGAAAAGTGGCTGGCACTGAATTTTTTTCCCCTAAACCCTAATCCCCTTTTCAGCATTGATGAACTGGATGCTCACATTTTAAAATTCGAGTTTAGATTTGTCTCTGGCCTAATTACTTTTCAACTTTTTATACATCAGTATTTTTGATTTTTAGTGTTCTTAGTGAAGAAAGGCAAATCTAGTAAAACAGTATCCAAAACATACAAATAGACTTAACTTATCTAGAAAAATGAGGAAAATACCTTCTGGTTTTAAAGCTGGGGGTATGAAATAGTGTTTACAGAGGGAATATTCAAAACGGCATTACTTTTTAGAAATGAACATGTTAGAATCATTTCTTAAAAGCCTGTGAGGAAAAAAAGCCAAAACAAGAGTCTTTATGCTTTCTGACTAACAATTGAAATATAGCCACATTTATAATACAGTAAAAAAAAAAAAAATGATCACAAGACTGTGATTCAAGTGATAAAAATTGTGAGTAAAGACAGGCTTCCTTGGCAATTTTCTGCCAGTATTTCCACAAATGTAGTTTTCTTTATCAAACATTTGTGTTTTCAAGTTTACAAGCCAACAATTCTTAGCATTGTTAAAAATAACTGAAGTATTACAGGAAAGCTGTTTGTCTTTTTAAATAAATGGGCTGAGAAACTCTTTTTATGATGGCAAGATAAAGAATTATTATGGTTTACCACACTGTGACAACCTAGAGGGGTGGGATGGAATGAGAGGTGGGAAGGAGGTTCAGGAGGAGTATACCTGTGGCTAATTCATATTGATGTGTGGCAGAAACCAACACAATATTGTAAAGCAATTATCCTTCAATTAAAAATAAATTTTTTAAAGAAGAATAAGTATAGTTTAAATTGAATTTTATTTAATCTGCCTGTCAGTGTTTGCTAACAGCTTCATTTAAAGACGTAATGGCTACATTAGTGCTTTGCCTTCTCAAAACACTGAACTATCGAAAGACTTCCCAGTCTTTTCAAAGTTTCTGAATAAATTCATGATTAATTTGGTTGCCTCTGGTTCTGTTGAATTTGCCAGCCAAGAATAAAGAATAGGGGCATACTCATAGGATACAATGAGAAATATTCTCATTGCATGTTTCCCGTACCCTTTATAACTTACCCTTTCCAATCTCTCTCTCTAGTGGCATGGCTGCTCTCTGATATTTGGTGTTGTAGATCATTTAAAACAACATTTGCTGACTGACCATACAAATCCAAACTTTCAAACTCTGAAATGTCGCTGGAAGAACTGTGATGCTTTTTTTACTGCTAAGAAAGGATCCAAACAGGTATATCAGTGGGATTGAGGTCAACCCGGGGTCATTTGACTGCTCAGAGCAGGGTTCAGTAAACCTTTTCTGCCTTATTAGAATGTTCAGACTTGCAGTAAACAGGGAGAGTGTAAGGATTTTTCTTTTTATTATTAATATTATTCACAGATTTGAGAGATAGCTTAATGAGATTTCAAGTGAAGAATTAGGTAGTTTTTGAAAAAGTGCCTACAGAGAATGTTTTCACTTGTTCCAATCCAGTAACTGAACCTAGAGATTTATTACAGCATTCTTGTGTTAAGAACTCAAGTGCACAGTTCCATGTGAATTAAGAGTGATGGGTCCTAACTGCCTTTCATGGATCACAGATCGAGACCTGGGACGCTCTCTGTGGCTCTGACTTTCTTTTGACCTACTTCCAACCTTTCTCTCATGGCTCCTTTTCCCTTTATTTCTAGGATGCTGCAGGACACATTGAACACCATGCTGAGGATGACAGCAAAATTGATTCATGAAGTTTTTTGCCTCCCATGTTGGGAAGTCTTTAGTTGAACTAATATCACATCAGCCCCTTACACAGGCCAATGTCCTCCTTTCCCCAGTGAATCAGGGAAGGAGAAAGTGGTTACTAGCCAGGCTAACTACTAGCATAAGTCTGGGCAGCTCTATGGGATGATAGGTTATACTTCTAAGTTTTTGCTGGAGGTTTGTGAGATTTAAACAGATTTTTAAGGAACCATACTCTTCTGGGACAGCATGGCATATAGTAATTTATGCTACTGGTGTTCTCCAGATGTTTATTAAAGACACAGATCTTAATTGGTTACCCAGTTTGACCCTAATCACACATGTATTTTATTGATTTCAGTTTGTAATTTTTAGTTTCTGTTGTTAATGATGGTTTAGACCAATAGTCATGCATTTAAGTACAAATTTGTTCAAATGTAAGGTTTTTAGGATCAGTCTTAATTTCTCTGTAATTATTGCAATCAGTTAATTCTGACCACTGGGTATTTTAATTGGAAACAACTATTTTCCTTTTTTAACAATTATGTACAATGTGTTTCAATATTCTCTTCTTAGATGGACAGAGCTGGCTTTAAATGCTAAAGGGACACACAAGAGATTTTTAACAGCTGGAGTAGCTGCTCTGCTGATTTTATTTTAGGAGCTCAGACAGCACATCACATAATGACAAGTCCTTGCAGACAATAATTCCTATTGAACCTCTACAGATTTTGATAAAGTCCTTGGTTCAAGGCAATGCACAGACCTGCCATCTACTTGGAGATCTCACTGTTAGACCTGGGTACTCCCTGCAGGTATTGGCAGGCTGTTTGAACTGAAGGTGTAGCCTCTGTCTTTCCAGGTTCTGACTCTCCAAGTGGGCAGTGGGTTTGAAACCTTTTAGTTTCGTTCATTGCCAACCCCTCTCCCATTCTCTGGTTGTGCCTAGACTGACAGCAGCCATCATATAGTTCCTCTGGGCTCATGAGGTACTTTCCACCCACCCACAGTACACAAATGGGGGGATCAGGATAAAGCATCTGAATATAGTTTTTAAGGCCTCAAGCAGACTTCTTAAAGACCAGTGTATTGCCTTCACCTCCCCCACTAAGCTGAGAAGAAAGGGTGTAGTGGGATGAAGGGTAAAGACCCTCCTTATCCTTCAAGAGCAGCCAAATGAACAAAGCCTTCTTGACACTGCTTTGTTTTTTAATTCTCTCTGGACTCTTAAGCGAAGCCATAGAGGTGTTACTTTCTAGCCTTTTGTTTCTGTGATCATCAAAACTCTGAAAGATTCTACAGAGAGAGGGAGGAGAGGAGAGAAGTGCCGAGTGCCACATACCGATCTCTGGCTGTGATGCCCACTCTTTCCTAGAGGAGAGCAGCCAGGTTTATCTCCACCCACCTTAGTGTACACGCTTCTTCTCTCATGTCTTCACTCAGGCTCTCAGGCAGGGTAACTTCACCTGGAGTTCATGGATAGGTTTCATGAGGGTATCCAAAACCCCTGGAATTGAGTGTAAGACTAAGTAGCTGTTCTTTTTTTCCAGGAAAGCCTCTGGTAGTTCCTACTGGATCCAAAATAAATAAATTAAGAACTAATCTGGGGAAAAAAAAAAAAAAAAGAACTAATCTGGGAGATACATCTAGATAATGAATGGCCCCATGAATTATTTACTTCTGTCCTTATGAACAGCAGGACTCTTGTGTTGACCGCATTACTGAGATTTGCATGATATTTGAGAGAGCAGAGAAGATCTTGTTGCATAAAGTTTATGAGTGTTGTTTCTGTCTGAGAACAAGCATTCCCATCTCTTACCCGATTTCCTATACACATGACCAGAGAAGCCAAGCTGTTCTGTGGGTTTGGGAATGGTGATGCCTAGGAAAGTACATTTGGATTTATTGCTAAACCTGGCGTTTCCTTTGGACTATAGTGAACCCACATTCCCACATTGGCTGAGCAGTGTGCTGAGAAAGTCTTGCATACTCTGTTGCATAGGTGCCCTTCTGTTCTGCCTGAGGACATATCTGAAAAGACGAGTGGTGGAGCCTTTGTACAGCAGGAAGGGGATATGTGAGGTGTTGGGCAGTCGTGGGGAACTGTTGTAGGTATGAACAGATTGATAGAATCAGTAAAAGCTGATTTGAGCTTAACTTTGATAGAATCATGCACAGTCTATCTGCCTTTATTTGTGCAGTTATGGATATTTCTTGTACGTGTGTATGTGTGTGGGCACCTATACTTAATAATGCTTCTCCCCATTTCACAGGAATTTTCTTTGAAGCTGTAGCAATAATGTCTTTGTTTCAAGAATGTGTAAAACTCACTCAGCACCAGGTTAGGTTAGTGTATTGCTCTAAATGCACTGTTGTAGCCATCTGTTTAGAAATAAAGGCACCATAAGCATCTTGGCTGCTTATGGTTGTGTGTTATTACTTTGAAGTGTCTCCAAAGTTAGGCAGAAGTCTTTTTTTTAAGTCTTCTATAATGTCTTGGCTGATTCTGGCCTTCTCTTCCCTCTCAGATTAGAGCAGTGGTTCAGGGGTTTGTGTTGGCGCTGATGTTTCATCCTTGGTGGAGGAAGGAAATTGTTACATGATGTGACAAAACACAACTCATTTCTTCTAAGGAATCGAATGTTATTTTTAATTCCTTGTGTTTACTTCTGACAACAGAAGCCAAGAAAACCATAGCATAAATCCTTTTCTGTGTATATGCTAGCATTTTAATGGCAGTTTGTTCTGATGAAATATCAGTGACTTCAAGTTTTATCATGAAGTTTTTAATCAAGTTCAAAATTTTGGCATGCTACTCAACTCAGTATAAAGCAGTTAAACACAATACAAACAAAGGGTTATCCTGACCTGATGTTACTTTAATTTGAGAGAACATCATTGTTACTGCACTCCTGCTTTTGTGGAGAATTTGTTTTTCTGCCTCAGAAGTTTGAGTGTTTAGCTCCTGACCTACCTATAATTTGTAGGCAACATTATTGCTATTTAAGTGATTATTTGCCTAACAAAGGGTTTTTTGTTTATCTCTTTTTAGTAGATGATACAGTGGACAACTTTAGTGACTAGGAATGTGGATGATTTGGTGGGAGTAGGTGTACAACACTTAGCAGAATGGTAATGGTATATTTTATGGAAGAGTTCCATTTGAGGGGAAATCAAACTATATTGTGAAGTGGGATTTAAATAGCACATCCCCTCTGGTTTGCAGTTTATATACGCTGACTTATAAATTTTGTACCTGTTACCTAAAGGAGAGCTCCTAAAAACTGTTAAGGCCATGCCTGCCACATTGTTAACAACAGTGATTTTATCCCAGCTGCAAATCCTCAGGATCCTGAGGATTTCAGAGATGCTGTCTGATTGATGGTCAGAAACGAGCTGTGGTGTAGGTGGTTTGGGTTATTCTGAGTTCCATACATCAGTGGATGTGAGATCTTGATTAAACCAAACCTACTACTAATCAGACAGTAAACGCTAACCTCACTTCCAACCCCCAACTCTGTGGCCTTGCCAGGTCGCATGGTGACTCACATTTCCCAGATTTCCTCTGAATTCACAGCAGTGGCCCAGTTGAATCGGTGGAGAAGGAAGCAAGGAGGAAAGGCTATTGAGGATCTTTTCTCCTGCTTCAGAGAAGTGCATGCCCTCGAGCTGCGCCAGTGCCCTTGGTGTCTTGATTTTTTTTTTTTAATTGAATATGGGTTAGAAGACTGAAATCATATGACATTTGACTGCAAAATGTTTATAATCAAATAGCTTAGCCTTCTTAACATTTTGGTATAAAGCTGTGAACTTCCTAACTTTGTAAAGCAACATATAAAGCAAATATAAGAGGAAATAAAGTACTTTTACTAATTGTTTATTTTTGTTACCTTATCTACATATTCACGGCCAACCCTTTTCCATGTTGATATAGAGATCAAGAAGGAAATTGGGTGGAAAATGCAAGATGGTTATAGATCGTGGTCCAGATAAACACAGCAAACACCTTCATTTAAGGGTTTGTCTAAGGTCATACAGTAGGTCAGTGTTGGTAGAGGAGCTCTGCGCCGTTCCAGTCAGCTAACTTGCGCTTCCAGTTAATAGTGAGCCATTGTCTTGATCTAGACACCAACAGCTATTCCCCTTCCTTTCCTGGTGTATCTTGGAAAGTATTTGAGTGATTCCTGTGCTCAAGAAATAGCAAAAAGGCATGATTAAAGTGGGGTTTGGGATTTGTGTTTGTGTGTGTGTGTGTGTGTTTTCCATGCTGTATTCTGAAACTAGAGCTCTATACCTGATGGGTGAGATTGGAGCTACTCAGTCTTGCTGTAGCTCTCAATGTGAGAAAACAAAACACAATCAAACCAGCAAAACATATGCCTTTATTTAGATGAACTTTTTTCAGAATGCAACCTAACTTATGAGTCAGATAACCCAAAGTGTCCAAACCTCTTTTCACTGAACTAGTTTACTCCAGAGCAGGCCTATCCTGAAACAATCAGGCAGAACCAAGTGCTCATTGGGCTGCTGTCCCATTGGTGGGAGAACATAGAGATGATGGGGTGGACGCGGGGTGGGGGTGGGGGTTCTAGCACCAGGAAGTGTACTGAGTGCCATTGGCAAATGCTTCTGCAAACAGCTGCGAGCATCTAAGGAGAGTACTTGTCTTCAGAGCTGAGGCCATCAGACTCCAAGCAAAGCTCTCACTGGCCTGTGGCTAGCCGAAGCAGACAGAGGCACTTGGCTCCATGTGGCACAGGGACAACACAGCTCTCCCTTCCCCATTCCTTAACTGAAGGGTCAGGCTGGGCCTGACAAATGGACAGATGCCCTAAGGCTGGGAGGGAAGTGAGTAGAGGAGGAACTAGACTGATGAGGTGCCTGGAGGCTTCCTGGGGGTACAGCAACAGTGTCCTTTGAGGTAAGTGACTTTAGCTCTGTTGGGTGAAGTTGAAATCCTGAGTGATCCTCCATTCCTTGGATGCAGCCAGCTTGGTTCAGGCATACATGGTGAGCTGCAGCCACTGCAAGAGGAAGTCCCAAGATCAGAATGCACATAAAACAAGAGAGCCAAGCCCTAGAGATTTAAAGAGTAGAAGAAAAGGCCAGTCCCAGCATGCCAGACACTGGGAAGATTTCCTGAGAAGCATCCTTCCCACAGATTTCCCTTAGAAAGTACAGATTTTCCAGCATAAAGCCATAACTGAGGCTTCCTTAGAGCCTTCCCCTAGTACGCATTCCCCATGACCACATCCTGCTGAGCTCTGAGCTTCCCTTTATGTTCCTTTCCCATCCCATCCCTCCACCTCAAATTTTAAAGTGCAGGGGGAGTGTACTGATTCTGTTAGGCTTTACCTCGAGAACGTTGAGTTTGATGATACCGTCCCCATCCTTGTCAAATGCATTGAAAGCTCCTGCTCGGAAGAATGCACAGACCAGAGGCCAGTTACAGGCACTCAACCCCCAGCCCCAACCACTTCATCTTTTCTTAAGAGGACCATGTGCCCGATGCTGCCCTTCAGCACCAAAATAGGCCAAAGTATCACCAATAACTGTCCCTTGCCATCCCTTTCTGAGCCTGAAGAGGGCCTCCACCTTTGTTCAGCCTGAACAGTAGATTGGGATTTGTCCAGGGTCATATAGTAAGGTCAGTTGGTGGAGAATCCCTCCACCACAGGAGAGGGAGCAGGGAGGCACAAGAGAGCAGAAGGGTAGCTGTCCACTTACTGAACATGCCCTCCAGCCTGACAAAGCAGCAGATGAAACTGTCGAAGTCGATGTTCATGTGTTTGTCTGCGTAGCGCATGGTGATGATATCGTAGAGCTGGTTGTTGAGGTGGAAGCCTGTGGGGGAGAGCACAGGAGAGGAGGAGACAGGGGTGAGTCCTCAGGCCTGCTTGCTTTCTCCTTAGAACCTCCTGGTCACGCTATGGCCTAGGAGAGGAGAACAAGAAGCCCTTTCTCATCCCTTTCTCTGGTAGGGCCCCAGTGGCCTAGCCTTCCCCTCTCATCCCTGCTCCTGCCACCTCCCATCCGCATCCTGGCCACTCCATTTCTTCCCCATACCTGCATCATTGACTGCATTGCGCATCTCGTAGCTGTTGATGGTGCCAGATTGGTCTGTGTCATAGTGTTTGAAAATTTTCTGGCAATAGAATATTTGAAGACAGAGGTCACACACTCAACCTCTGAATCAGTCCCTTCCTCACTCCCACCCTCTTTCTCTCATCCCACCTGCCACGTCTTAATCTTCTTCCAGAGGTGATGAAACTCTTGCAGGTTCAGTCTCCCAGAGCCATCTGTCTGGAGGAAGGAGGTCAGGGCTACAGGGCACATAGCAAAATCCTGTCTTGGGAGCAGAGCTTCTGGGGGGCTGTGCAAGGGAGGTCCTCTATAGGAGGGCTTTGCCCAGGATATCCACCCTTGCCCTGACCTAGTGTTTAACAACCCCCTTCATGCTTCCCTAGTCAGAATCAGTGCCTGCTCTAGAACCCAGGAAACCTTTCTCCAAGGACCACTCTTTTTGGGTAGGGCCTCAGAATCTCAGGCCTGAGGTTGAGAGCAGGGGCCAGTGTTCTCTGAACTGTGCTTCCTCCAACAGCTCTTTAAAGACCAGCAGCCAGGAAGTTTAGTGCAGGGCCTCCTTAAATCTTTGCTTGAGCATGAATTTGGGCCCCTCTGCTTGACTGGGCCCTCCTCACTGTTGCCCTAGCCCCAGGAGACTACATAGGGGCTGCCGACAGGGCTGGGAAAGGGTGGCAGGAAGGATACATCCATGAGAGCGATCATGCTACGGCAGGACTCCAGCGTGAAGCCTTGTGTCTTCAGGTCCTTATCTGAGAGGTATGGAGAAGAGTGAGGAGCTGCCTTCAGATAGCTGGACACACACCACCCCCACTGCCCACCTGCCCCTGCAGAATTAAGCTGCTCACGTTTGTTCACAACTCTGTTAAGGACATTCTTGAGCTCATCTGCACAGATCTCCATGTCCTGAGTAGGAAAGGGGAAGAAAGTCATGGTTCAAGAGTGCAGCAGCTGATGGAGCATAGTCTTTGCAAATCAAATCCTGGCCATCCATGCTTATATAGTCCATGACAGGGCTGTTCTGTCATGGGGAAGCTGGGGCTTTTCTGATGAAGACACTGTACCTTCAGCTGTCTAGAAAGCAGTGGGCAGCTCAGAGCCACCCACTGGGTGTGTTGGCTTAGAACTCAAAGGACTTCACTTGTGGATTTCTGTGCTATGCTCATATACCCCGTTTCTACCAAAAACCAAAATGACCTCCACTGAACGATAATGAAATAACTGGCAAACTGAGCAATTCATAAAGGAGAGGAGTGTCCGAGTGAGTCAGAGTCGGGGGTACTCACGTCGCCTGCTATCTGCCTGAAAATATTCCGGAATTGCCGCTGTTCCTCACTTTCCTGGTCAGTGTTGCCGGGCTCTGGCTGTGGAGGCACAAAGGAAAACTGCTTGGCGGGGACCAGGGAGATGAACAAACCCGAGAGGAAAGTTTCTTCCGGGCTGAAGGAGCCAGGGTGACTAAACCAGCCGTAGGTGGCAGCAGGAGCTGGGTACAGAGTCGATGCTCTTCTTTCTTGGTTGAACCTACTGATCTGGAGTGAGAATCATCTAGGTCCCAACGACCCTTCACTCCATACCTCCCCAGCCTCGCCAGAGGAGGTATATCAGCTGTGCAGACACGTAGACAGCCCCCTTGGTCCTCTTCCCCCATCCCCACCAGCTAGAGCCCTCTCCTCCTTTCACAGCCTGACCGTCCCAACCAAACCAGCCCCAGCAGGACGAAGTGGACCAGACCAATCTGATACCTCCAGCCGTTTCTGCCATCAAGGCCAAATCCTCAGAGGACCCTCCTCCCCTCCCCACGCCGCTGCATGGGCACCACAGGATGAGATGTCCCTGGGTTTATCTGGAATCTGGCCTGTCAGTCTCACCTCCTATGCTTTATATGACCCCCTGTCCTCACTCCAATCTAACACTGTCCCCTGAGCTCTGGAGGACTCCATTTCTGGTGTCACCCCCCTTCCCACTACTATTCTTTATCTTCCCCGTTGTTAATGACACCAGGAAACAAGCTGTTCTGTCTCAAGCTGTGTCTGTCACAGGCTTTGCATCCCTCTTCTCTCATCATCGTGGCTGGATGGGCTTCAGCAGGGAAGCTCAGCCTGTCCTTCCCAGGACCAGCTTGGTGTGGCAGCCAATCCCAAGACATTCATCCAAGCAGCACCCCAAATTTTAGGAGAATTCGATGAGGGACAATGTCAGTGGGACAAACCTAAACCACTAGGTGTTAAAGGGACACCCCACCCCTATGGCCCCTCCAACCCTCACGCACTCCTTGAACATAGGCCTCGGTTGTGTGCAGGCCACCCCACTCATGCACATGCTCAGAAACCTGTGGGGATTTCGCTTCCTTATCAGGGCTTGTTTTGTCTTTGCCCTCCTCTGTTTCCTGGTCCACACCCAGCTCCTTATTGCTGTTTGCTCTGTCTGAAACGAAGATGATGGGCTGGAGAGAAGAGGGGAAAGGGGAGGGGGCAGGAAGGAAACAAGGATTACTGGCTGAGTGGGCACATGAAGCAACCTCTCTCCTGGAGCAGCTTTGTTCAGTAAGGACTGAAAGAGCAGAGCTGGGTCTTTTTGAACTTCTGTTCAAGCTCCATCTCTGCCACTAACAAGCTGTGTGACTTGGGGAAAGATGCTCAGTCTCTCTGGACCTAAGTTTCTTACCTCCTTGTAGAGTTATGAGGATTAAACATGGTAGTTAGTACATGCAACAATGCTAAGAATCCTAAAAGCAGCATGGTATAGTGCAGTGATTTTCAAGTATTTTGTAGATTTTTTTTTCAAATGGAAACCTCGTTCAAATTAAATTTCCCCAGAAGCTCTGAAAACAGGGCTTCTCTGCTTAATGAAGAGGGCAGAGCTCTTTTCCTTTGGCACCCGCACATCACCATGGCAGCTACTGAGGCTTCTCCAAGGAACCTCTAGGACTTGGCAGAGGACACATTGAGAAAAGAACTGACTATCTACATGGTCACTGAGTGGGGTCAGAATACTTGACTGGAGTCCCAGCTGTGCCCCTCCCATGAAAAATATCCTCTGGCCTCAGTTTACTCATCCATTAATGAGGATAACAAAACCTGCTTTGCCCTTTTCATAGGGCTCTTGTGGGGATCACACAAGATACTGAACATATGATTGTACTGGGAAAGCATTTAAGATGCTGCCCAAACAGAAGGGGTATTTGCCAGACATGCTCGTGCAAGTGAGGAGAATGTGAAAGGGTGGAGAGCGGCTGCCATGCTGTGCTGGCACTGGTTGGGGTATACTTCCCATAGAGAAAGCCGGAGGAGGAAGGCAAGGCTCCCGTCAGCGGTGCAGAGAACAAGGGGCAATCAAAGTCTCTCAGTGCACAAGAGTTCCTAAGCACTCTTGAGCTCCCGTTTGCCTTTCCATACTGTTCCTCTAGGGCAGCACGAGTGGACAGACCCATGGAAAGCGCTTCCCCAGCTTTGGCTCCCAGCAGGCCCCAAATACCTTGGCTTGCTCTGCTTTCCAAGCAAGGGGTCTTGTTCAAGTAACTGATACCTGTAGGGAACCTCAGAGCAAGTGTGGCTAGCAGTCTGAGGGGGGCGGAGTGTGGCCATGGGGCACCCCTACCAGGCACACAACTTGGGGCCCTAGTGTGGGTCTGGGCCACACAGGCCATGGAGTGTAAAGGTCTCCTCAGCACTGGAGAGCTGAGGGCGAGAATCACGGGTTCAGAGCAAATATGGTTTCCAGTTCAAGTTTCCCCACTCATTAGTTGTGTGTCCTCAGACAAGGACTTCTGAATCTTTATCCTCATCTATAAAAGAGGGATCCTGACAGCACCTACCTTGTAAACACTGTTGTAACTGAACACAATGTATATCTTACCCCCAGCGCAGGGCCTTAATATGCAGTTGGTGCTTGGTGAATGTCAGCTCTGGTCTGCACCAGCACCAATTCTCGGAGGACCCCTATGATGGATCCTTCCAGACGCTGTCATGAACACTAACACCAAATGTTTTCTGATGTCCTATGGCTATTGCTCCATTGGCGTGAGGATGCCCAAAGGTCAGTCATTTCTCGATGGCACTCTGGGTGGCCAAACCAAAGTTGTAAAAGGGGTAACATTGTAGACATTACTGCCCTGAAGACCATGGGGGAAGTTATGAGGTGAAAGGAGCAAGGGTGGGGTTGATTGTAATCTCAAGTTCCAAAATTGCACATAAAAGCTTTCTTCTGAGGCCCCAGAGATGCTCTTAGCATGTATGGTTAGCTTTAGTGATGATGTCCCTGCAGCAGAGGGGTCTTAACCAGGACACCCAGGAGGGCAAGCTCCCCAGGCAGCTCTCCTTATCTTTCCCCCTGAAACCAGTCAAGTTGAGCAGCTCCTCTGGGGCCATGCACATGAAACTTCTCTTCCCCTCTCCCCCTTTCCCATCTGGACATGCACAGCAAGCAGAGTCCAATCAGGGCCCATGACTTTGAGGGGCTTAGTTCAGAGAGACAGGTCACCATCTAGGAGGGAGTTGGCAACCTGCTTCACCCAAGATGATAGCCCTGGCAGTGACAGCCCCTCTGGGTGTCCACCCCCTTCCCCAGAAGGCTAAGGAAAAAGGAGTGGGGAGCAGGCAGGGAAAACAGGAGGAAGAAGGAGCTGTCCTGTCTGCAGAGCAGGCACTGGTGTCGGAAGACAAGGCCCTCCCCTGCTGCCATGGAAATCCTCACACAACTCCATCACTGCTTCCCGAGAACCAGGGCCCGTTGCCATTCCCGCAAGAATCAAGTCTAAGCTTAGCTTAGTCACACCCACTTCTGAGAAAGAAGAGGTTCTCCTGTGGGTTTTTGCGGGACCCCTATGTCAGGCCCATTTTCACTGGTTGGCCACCTTCCCTCTCTCTTCTAAGCGGGCAGCATAGTGTGTGGTTCAGAGCACAGACTGCGGAGCCAGACCTCCTGGTTCCAGGGTGACTCTGCCACTGGCTGTGTGGCCTTGGGCATGTTGGTCCATCTGTCTGTACCTTTCCTTCCTCTGAAAATGAAGGTAATCATAGTATAGGCATCCCTTGCTTTATCATGCTCCTCGGATGCTACATTTTTTACAAATTGAAGGTTTGTGGCGATTCCATCTGGAGTAAGTCTTATCGGTGCCATTTTCTGAACAGCACTGTGCACTTTGTATCTCTGTGTCAACATTTTGGTAATTCTTACGATATTTCAAACTTTTTCATTACTATCTTCTGGTGATCTGCAGTCAGTATTCTTTGATGTTACTACTACAACTTGCTGAAGGCTCAGATGATGATCAGCATTTTTTAGAAATAAAGTATTTTTAATTAAGGTATGTACTTTTTTTTAGAGTTTTAATGCTATTGCACACTTAATAGACTACAGTATAGTGCAGACATAACTTTCATATGCACTGGAAAACCAAAAACTTCCTGTGACTTGGTTTATTCTGATACTTGCTTTTTTGCAGTGTTCTGGAACTGAACCACAATACCTCTGAGGTCTGCATGTACCAATCTCATAGAGTCGTTGTGAGGACGGAGAGGATCCATGGAAAGCACCTACAAGAGTGACTGGCTCATAGCCTCCACTCAGCAAGTGTAAGCTATCAATGCTCTGCACCCATAGCTGCCAGAGGAGCTCAGGGAAGGAGGTGGAGGGCTGGGGAGAGGAGGCAGGTCCAGTGCACGCATGCTCACTCTTACACACTCACACCACGTACTGTCTGCCCACTCACCCTGTTACACCCACCTTGGTTTTTTTCTTTTTCTGCACAAGAAAAGAAAATAATAAATGCAATATAAGTGAAAAGCAAGTTCCCGGAAAACCCAGTGGCTTTTGGCTTCCCTGTGAACCTGGTCCTCAGTGTCGGGTGAAGTTCAGAAATCTGGGTCATGTGGAGCCGAATGGGCCTGGAGGGTAAAGGGAGAAGAGAATTCTCCAGGCCCAGACACCAGTGGCTGATACGGCTATGCTTATATAGTCCCCTCTGCTACTGGTCGTGGCCAAGGAAGGGGAGCTTCTGGCAGATGTTTTGTATTTTTTAATGAAGTTGGTTACTAAAACACCCCAAAAGTGACTCACCTAAACTGGCCTGAAAATGAATTTTATTTGATTTATAGAGTTTTTGGTTTTTCGTTAAAATTAGAAGGTCAGGGCTTCCCTGGCGGCTCAGACGATAGAGTCTACCTGCAACGTAGGCTACCTAGGTTTAATCCCTGGATCAGGAAGACCCCCTGGGGAAGGAAATGGCAACCCACTCCAGTATTCTTGCCTAGAGAATTCCATGGACAGAGGAGCCTGGTGGGCTACAGTCTATGGAGTTGCACACAGTCAGACACAACTGAGTGACTAACACTTTCACTGGCAGCAGGCATATACCTGTGACCCCATGACAGCAGTCTGAGAGCTGAGAGCAGCAGCTCTGCATCCCCAGATTGCCATAGTCGCCATCACTCCAGTTGTCTGAAGCCAAGAGGACTACAGGCAACTGTACCCACACAGGGACACCAAAACCCCCACCTGTGCCTGCTCTGCTCTGTTAGGTGACATACGAATTCAGGTAAGCTTTTGAGTTTGCTGCACCTGATAAATACACTACACTGATTACTGACATCTGAAAGATAAGTAAGTATTAAGATAGCATCAAATGCACTTAATACTAAAACCAACATCTGTGATAATTCAAAAGGCCCTTGGGGATCTGCCACTATCACAGGGTCAGGATTAGAACCATGAGTGTCACTCCCCAGAAGACAATTCAGTGGGGTATTTGCTGTCCTCTTATTGGCCCAGGACACACCAGCAGAGCACAAGGGACTATTTATTCAGCAAAGCCCAAAGTCCAAGGCAGTCATAAGACTCCTCTACATGGAGACTCCAGCAGACACCAGCTCTGTGCTCCTAACCCTGGGCCTCCCACCCCCGGGGACAGGCCTCAGCATGGGGTAGGGGAGACAGCCTGACTCCACTCAGAGAATCTGGTTGTGAGTTCCAGCCTTGCCCACTCACAAGCTCTGTGAACTCAAAGAAACCACTTAACCCCACTGAGCCTCTGCTTCCTTACTTGAAAACCAGGGATAATAACTTTATTACGTGTCAGAAACCTTTCAAACATCAGAGAGATGACACATGTGAGAAGTACCTTGAAGATGTAAAACATATGAACAATAGCCTGTGCTATGCCAGACCCTTCATGTACATGATCTCATCGATTCAGACCTCACAAAAACCCTGTGAGGCATGTATTATTAATATCACCCCTATTTTGCAGAGTAGGAAACTGAGTCATAAGGGTTACATAAGTTGTCTAGGTCACTGGGCTGGCAGGTGGAGGACCTGGGTTTTGATACTGACTCCAGAGCTGGTGTAGTGCTGCCTTTTTTCTGTGTGAGATTCTAACTCATAAATCCAGTGCTGGCTGTAGCTGTTGTCACCCCTTATTCCTGTGGCCTTTGTCCCTCCCTCTAATTGTTCAAACTGCTTTTCCTTCTAGGACTCTCCTCTGTCCTTCCAGCCCCTAGACTGGCTAAATGGCCCCAGGACACAAGTCCCATGACTTCAGGCCATGCCACACAGAAGTTGCGATAACACAGAGTAATGACTCTGCACACCCCAGACTCCTGTGTTCCACTGCTACCCCTCCATCACCCGCCTCCTTCCCTGGCCCTTGTCACATGTGAGAGCCAAACCACTCACCACTGGCCGGTCCACGGAGATTGTATTCTCAACTTCCCTGTGAGGAACACAAACATGAGGGGGTCTCAGTGTCACTAGGTGCAAGTAGGAAGCAGAGGGCTTTTGCTCAGGCCACCTGGCTTCTCAGAGCCAAGTCTGAACTGACCTCAAGAGAACCCCAGGGACTAACATCCCCTACCACAGGTGCCATTCCCTGAAGCCAAGTGCAGACACAGGGTTTCTTTATTGGCTTTGACTAGGTTTTCCCAGATGCATGACCCAGCCACCTATTCATGGACCTTATGCTTCTTTTAGGGACAGAGGTTAAAGTGGAAAGTGGTAAGGGCCTATGAACTCATCCCCAGTGACCAAGAGAGCAGGATGTGGCCTTGCTGGCTTCTCTGGTCACCGTACCTAAAAGGTTAATCACCCCCCAACTGCTCTTATCCTTCTTCCCACTTTATTTTTCCTCCTTATCACTTATGTAAATCTAATATACTCTATATACTCTTTCCTATTACATGGTTGTCTCATGCTAGAATGTTAAATTCCATGAAGGCTGGGATTCTTTCTGTTTAATTCATTGCTCTGTCCTCAGTGCCTAGAAGAGTGCCTGGGACATAGCAGGTGCTCAGTAGCTATCTGTGGGATGAATGGGTGGGTGGATGGATGTAGGGGAGATGTTCCCAGTGGCTCGGGAACAGGGGAAGAGGTCCTGGTCAACAGGACTCCTGGAGGAGTCTGTCTCACTGTCTCAGCTGTCTGGCTGTCTCACACCTCCAGTCTCTAGTATGGGTCATGTGGGCTCTTAGGGACAGGTGGGGAAAGCCAGGCTGGGACTTACTCAGAGAGGTTCCTCTTTTCCGAGAAGACCCGGAGGATGAACTCGCCCTCCTGGTGGGGCTCGTACGTGGAGGGCACAATGACGTACTCGCTGGGAGGCAGGCGGAAGCGCTCGGACACCTCCCGCATGTTGATGTAGGTTCTGCTCCTGGCCTTGGAGGCGTTGTACAGGAAAAAGTCCTTCTGCAGGTGCTGCTTGTTGCCATGCATCTGAGGCAGAGAAGAGCCCAAGGTACCTCAGTTCCTCGGGAGGGACACCCTGTCCTGCTCACAGTCCTCCTCCAGGGAGTCCTCCTTCCCAACTCCCTGGTCACTCATTTCATAGTCACAACCTACCAGCTTCCGATTCCCAAGGCCTCGAATAGCTCAACATCCCTGGAGCTCCCTACCCCATGTCCTCTTCCTTTTCTGCTGTGATCCAGAAGTGAAGGTCAAGTCTGGCTTCCCCCACTCAGGGTCACTTACCAGAATTGCTGCTGTTCAGCTCCAGAACACCTCTGGATTGGGGAAAGACCCCAAGGAGGCAGGGGCAGGGGTTGTGGGCAGGGTCTGAGGGAAGTGATTCCTCCACCCCCAAAGAAGGTGATCAGCCTCGCAATGTGTCTGTGTGATTCTGTGTGTGAGTGTGAGCAAGCATGTGAGTGTGTGATGGTCTCTGGTGGGCAAGGGAAAGGGCACGTTGTGGGGGTGGGAGTCAGGAGGCCATGCAACAGCCTGAGGACCTGCTCTGGAGTTAGGTAAGGTGGGCCAGGCCCTCTCCTATCACAGTCCTGCCCCCAGACCCCACAGGAGGCACCCTGATGTGACCCAGGCGGACACAGGGCCCTGGTAATGCTGCACACACTGCTGGCTGCTCCACTTCTATACCTCTTTGGGAACCTTGGGGAGAAACAGAAAAGGAAGGTGCTCAGATTTTGTGGATTTCAGGTCTTAATGGGGATGGAAACTTGCCAAAGGGCATGCTAGCAATCGTAGAGTGAATGAGGGTCTCTGACTCCCCATGTACCTACCTGGACAACCCCAGCCCCACCCCCACCTCCCCTAGGTGGGTTTTTCCCCCACTGGTTACAAACTTCAAAGAGGTTCTGACACCAGTGGGCCTGATATCAGGAGTTGGAGTGGGGGGCACTGGATATTGGGGAAGCTGGGGAAGCTTCCTCAGGAAGCCCTCCGAAAGCCTCTTCCCTGAAAAGGTGGTCTGAAGCTCATCAGGGATGGCACACCTCGTAGATGGCAAAACCGATGGTGAAGAGGTTAGCCCCCAGCTTCCGGTCCTTCCTCCGGTTCTTCTGCATCAGGGCCACTAGGAAACTACAGATCACCTCGGAATCATCGGGGTCGTCGTCCTCCTCAAGGAGCTTCAGACGGTACTGTGGGTTGGTCCAGAAAGTGTCTGTGCCCCCCCAAAAGGAATTGCACTTTCAGATCTGCCTCTCAGAGAAAGGAAAGGACAGGAGATGAGATGGAGGGAACCTATTCATCTCTAGCCTCCTCATCTACATGCTCAAATATGTATGAAAAATAAAAAGGATCCAGGCATTTGTTTAATTTGGTGTGTGTGTTGGGGTGGGGGGCGGGTAGCCTTTATACCTTTATACAGATGGAGCTGCGCTGATTGGCTATGTGTCTCCTCTCCTCTGTGAATTTTCATTCTCCGTCTTTGCGGATGGCTTCACTTTTCTCACCTGCTCCCTCAGTGTTACCAGTCCCTGGGATTTGGTCCTGGGCCTCTTCTCTCACTCCCTAGGCTGTCTTATTAATTCCTACTTTCTAACTGCTCCCTACATACTCTTGACTCCTGAGCTGTAGATCCCAGCTTCAATCTCTCTTTTGACTCTGTCCCATCATCCCTTCTTTCTTCTTTCCCTCCTTTCCTTCCTGTCTTCTTTCCATCCTTCTTTCCTTCCAGAAATACATACTGAGTCCCTATCATAGAGCTAAGTGCCATTCTTATCTGTGCATCCGGTTCTCTTTTATGCATCTTCACCTGGATATTCTACACATGCCTCAGACTTCCCATGTCCCAAAGTAAACTCCTCTGCAGAAGCCCACAACCAACTCCGTCAAAAATAAGAAACCTATTTTTTTCCTCTTGTGCGTTTCATTGACACCATCTACTCAGGCTCCCAATGAGAGAATCTTGAAGTCATTCTTCCTTCTCTGGATCACCCAATATCTTCTTCCCTCAACCTGCCCCATCCCCCCATCTCTGCTGCTTCTGACTTGGCCTCAGCTTTCATCATTTCTGGCTTAAACTCTTGCAGCTGCTGCTAACTCAGTTCTCCAGTTCAATCCTCAGCATAATTAACACGGCCCTGTTCTGACATAATAACCTGGACGACAGAGGATGAGATGGCTGGATGGCACCACTGACTCAATGGACATGAGTCTGGGTAAACTCCGGGAGTTTGTGATGGACAGGGAGGCCTGGCGCAAAGAGTCGGACACGACTGAGCGACTGAACTGAACTGAAAAGTTACCAGCTCCTTAATGTAAGCTACTCAGAATGGAGGTTTCCTTCTCAGTAATGTTGTTGTTTGGTCACTGTCGTGTCTGACTCTTTGTGACATCATGGACTATAGCCCACTAGGCTCCTCTGTCGGTAGAATTTTCCCAGGCAAGAATACTGGAGTGGGTTGCCAACTCCTTCTCAAGGGGATCTTCCCAACCCAGCGATCAAACCTGCGTCTCCTGCATTGGCAGGCAGGTTCGTTACCACAGAGCCACCAGGGGAGTCACCTCTCAGTAAAATGGGGACAGTTCAATAAGAGATTGTATGTCTGGAAGTTAGTAAAGACTCAGCAGATGCTAGTTAATATTATTCTGCCTGGAACCTGTTCTGCTTGGACCCTTCCCCCATCCAGAGCATCTCCCACCTGGGAAGTTGCGGCAGCCTCCGGCAGAGCAGCCCCTCACCCAGCGGCCCTCATTCACGGACACTGTCCAAGTCTGAAGCTTGTCGGACTCCAGGGCATCAGCTGTGAGGTTGCAGATCTCCAGCTTTGTGAAATGGTAGATAAAATCATTGTAGGACATCCTGAGAGGTTGGAAGAAGAGAGAGACCGATTTGGGAGGCTGGGAACGGTAAGAATGCAGGGCTAACACAGCACAATGAAATAGCCCAAAGCAACTTTGTCATGGTCCTAGAGAGGACCCTGTCCTTCCTTTCTTAGGGTCAACATGGTGTCAGTTCTTTTTTTAAATTTTTATATATTTGTTTTTTAAAATTTGGCCTTGCCATGTGGCTTTTGGATCGTTCCTGACCAGGGATCGAACCTATGTCCTCCGCAGCCGGAGCACAGAGTCCTAAGCACTGGACTGCCAGGGAAGTCCCAACACTGTCAGTTCTGATGTATCTCTTGCGTTAACAACTCAAACTCATGAGTTCTTGCTGAAGAGCTTGGCAGCAATTCGGTTCTCCACAGTGGTCCTGTTTGCCCCTCGCTGTTTGGCCCAAGCACTGTACCAGGCACAGGGGAGGGGTAGTTGGGGAAGCACAGACAGTTAAGCCAGCAATTTTTAAAGGTGATGAGTACCACAAATTAATCCCAATCCTGAGGAAAACAAGTGGGTCCAGAGGAAAGTTCCCTTTAATCTGAGACTTGAAGGCTCAGTAGAAATGATCTGAGTGGCACTGGGTGAGCTGAGTAGATAGGGCTTCCTCCACTCAGAAAACAGCTCCACCAAGGCCAGGAGCAAGTGACTGGAGCAGTGCGTGTGGTGGAGTGTCACAAAACGGTGGGAGCCCTAGCGCACTGGCTCAGTCCGGGGCCCGGTCATCACCATAACGCTCAGGCTGCTCTCAAAACCCTCAATCTTGCTGGGTCTCTGGTTGGATTTGGAGAATAAGGCTCAGATGTCCCAAGGGCTGGAATCTGACTGCCACTTTCTGGGGTTGGAGGTTTGAGATTTCAGTGCCCACCCCACCCTTTACCCTTCAGAGTCCTCTTGGGTCCTGGACTCACCAGAACTCTCCATCCTCAGTGACTTGGTGCTGCAAACGGGCCTTCTCGTCCTTGTCCACGTAGCTCCAGTCCTTCCAGCTGGAGGGAAGATGGAGGTGTGATGAAAGGGAAAAGAAAGGGAAGGCCTGATATGAGCTGGGGCAGGAGGTATCAGAGAAATATGAACAAAATAGCTCCTCTCCCAACTGCAGCCAGTGTGAACCACCAAAATGCAAATCTGACCTGATACCCCATAATCGCTTCTCACCATCCTCAGGATTAAGACCAAGCTTTTAAAATGGTTTGTGAGGGCCTGACTTTTCTCTGATTAAAACTTTAACCATTCCTCACCCTTTCAAGTTAGGAGTTGGGCCCTGGAAATAGGTAAATTGGGATTTCAATTTAATTATACCAGTACTAGCTGTAACCCTGGGCAAGTCTCTTCACCTCTCACAGCTTCTGTTTTCTCAACTGCAAAAGGGAAATGATTATGTCACCTACTCGCAGTGCTGTGATGAGCAAGAGATGAAATATTGCATGTAAAACTTTTAGAACAGGCCCGTCATCTAATAAGTAAATGTCTGAGTTACTGAGAGAAAGACTAAACAGGTAAACTTTTCCTTCCTCCTGCCACCCCACAAAACATCCCAGTTTTGTATTTTTTAAAGGCTGGACAGTTTTACACACTGTCTCCCAAAGAAGGAGGAACTAAAGCACCTTTGTGAGGAGAATGAAGCTAAACTGGATCATCTCTGGAGAGGTTAGGGATTGAAGAAGTGCTTGGAATCAGGGAATACCGGAGGGGAGATGGAGATCCCTGAGACCGGCAGGAGGGACGCAGTGGGCGAGTGGGGGAACTCTCCTTGAGTGACCGAGGCTGAGTCCCAATTGTCAGCAGTCCCTGAAGTGGAGGAGTTGGCAGAAAGCGGACCCCAATATCTGAGACTGGAGAACATAGCGAGGGTCCCTGTGGGTGACTAGTGGGCTGATAGACTTATGGGGCAGCAGGGACCCTTCCAGAGCAGAGAACCCAGTTCAAATGCCATCCCTCCAGGCAACCTTTTGCTACCTTCTTGTCCCCTCAAACTATGAGAAGGGCGCCTGCTTTGTGACCCTAACTATAGCATTTACCTCAATGATTACTATTTTTCTGTCCTTCCCACTAGACCTTAAGGCCTATAGGGCAGTGTCTGAATCTCTGTGTTCATTTCTAAGTCCCCAGACAGAAGCATGGGGCCTGACACATACTGCACAATGAGGTGTCTGGTATTTGTCACACGGATGAGAAGGGAACAGTAAGAAGACCAGGATCAGCACCTTATTGGTCTACCCAGCAAGGTTGCCTACTCACAGAATGCCCCCAGCGCTTAGGATTGTGCCTGGGATTCAGTAAGTGCTCAACACATACTTGCTAAATGAATGAATGGCCGAACAAGCCAGTAATTACGGTGCCCTGAGATGAGAGGTATGTTAAAATTAGCACAGGGTCTAAGGGTACACACCTGGTTGTGGTCCTTCTCAGCTAAGGAGTCCTGCTCTGCCCCCTTGGGAATAAAGGAGATCCAGGACCCACTCTCCCTGCAGAGAGGCAGTCAGGAGCCAGCGATTGGGGTGGAACAATAAAGGCTTTGTGAAGGTTCTGGAGCCTTCACAGTATCTTCCTCCCTCCGTGTGCTGTTTTAGCTGCTCCCAGTCATTTGCTCCCAGTAATAAGTAGTACAGTTCTTTCAAAGGACCTATGCATCTCTTACTGGGGCCAGTGAACAGAGGAAATCTTAGCACTGGCTAAGCTCTCTGCAACACTATCACATTTTCTCCTCATAACAGCCCACCAGGTAGGTGCTAACATTTCCCCCATTTTATAGATAATTATGAGAAGGGAAGTTACTTGTCCAGTCAGACCACTGCATCCAGACTCCCCTCCTGCCTGGACATAGCCCATGCTCTCTAGGATCTTTCCTTTCCCCTCAATGGCCATCAGTAAGCTCTTGGGGTCCCAGGTTCCCGAGGCTCTGCTTTCAGCCCTAAGCTGGAGCCACACCCCTTCTGGTCCCAGCCCTTCCCTGGAGCCACACCCCCTTTTCTCCTCTGGATCATTGGTTTTAAGGGTGATTTTAGACCAAGCATTTGTCGTACTCTTATGGTTTGGTCCCCAAGCCAACCCTGTCCCAGGTCCTGTTGTCCACTGCTCATGGGGTCCCCTCACCCACCTGTCACTCCAGGAGCCATTCCACTCCACCTGGCCCCAGGGGTTCCGCAGCCGCACCAGCTTCACTTTCTCACCCTTGTACAGGGCCTTGGGCAAAGAGGAAAAGCTCTCTTGCTCTGGGCCCTTTCTGAAGTGGGGTGAGGGGTGGGGGTCTTCTGTCTTGCCCTGAGGGTTGGGGTGGGAGTGGGGAGAGGATCCCATACAGGGAGCTGTCCTGCTTGATCAAGGAGACTAATCACAAGTTTGCTGTGAAATGGCAGAACCTTAGCACGAGCTTACAGGACTCAGGCTTGGCCATCACCTTGCCATCTTCTAAGAAGTGATTTTCACAGTGCACATCAGGCCACTTAGAAATTTGAGTGGAGTGGGTGGAGGAGGCAGGGCACATAATGTAGGGCTCTGCTGGCAATCAGGTGTCTCTGCGTGAATTACTAATAGAAAAAAATGCCCCTGCTGGCTGAAGAGTGACAGAAAATGTCCCCTCTAAGTAGATCAATCAGAAAAAGGGGCCCCTTTTCTCCTGTCTGCGGCATGGGCTGCTGTGGACAACTGCCTCTCTCTGACCATCCATATGACCAGGCACAATGGCCCAACTGTGCACAAGGGGCCTGACAAACTCCCTGTCTCTGTCATGACCCCAGTCAAGGCCAGATGTGCCAGTGGGAGCAAGACATCATTAGTGACCATGAAAAACAAGAAACACAAGAGCCCATGAAATTACTTTCATAAAACCAAAGTGATTTCTATTTGCTCTTTGGAAAAGTTGGGGCAATTGCTATGTTTAGCACTAAAAACAAACATAAAGTGAGAACTGTCTTGTGGCAAGATCCACCTACAAGTCCCAGTAGTCTCCTCCAACCTGTCACTCAGCCTGAGTACCTGATTGGAGGCAAATTCTGCAGATGCAGAGGGGCCCAGAAAGCCAAGACCCGACTTCAGCAGTTTCCCCCAGGTAGCCCCTCAAGTCCTATCCCTCCATCCCCCACCAGGCTCACCTCCTCCAGCCCAGTGACTGAGTAGGCATGGCCTTTGACCAGCCCACAGGACATTCTTGTCTCATACTGAACTGGAACAATCGTCTGTGGAGTGAAAACCAGACAGCCTATCAGGGCTCGTTTCCTGAGACAAAGTTCACACTGGTTCACATCCTGGGTCCAGTGAGGACAAAGACTCCTCCATGCCCTGGAAGCATGCCTCCTAGCCCTGAGAAGGCCCTCACTAGCCCTTTAAGAGAGCCAAGATTATGCAGCCCAGACAAGGTGTTTCCGTCAAGCTGGTCCCCTGACCACTGGAGAGCAATGTGGAGGCTGGAGCCGCGAGGTGAGTGAGAGCGTGCCTGGCCCTCCTTTCTGGATCCCTTGGGGTCTTTCAAAGGAAGAAGCGGGGGGATGGAGGCTGCCTTGGGTCAGGCTCCCCTTCCTTGAGCCCACCCAGGGTTGACTATTCCTGGAAGAGAGAGGGGTTGAGAAAAGGGGTTAGATGAAACATGGAGGTCTGACCTTTTATCTTTATATCCCCTCACCTTCTCCACCCACCCTAGAACATGTTCAAGAGATTAAAAGTAGACTTCCTTAGTGTCCAGTGGTTAGGACTCCATGCCTGCAATGCAGGGGGTGTGGGTTGCTTCCTGATTGGGGAACGAAGATCCCACGTGTCATGTTATGTGGCCAAAAGTTGAAAAAAAAAGAAAGAAATTAAAAGTTCCTGCACCCAGGCAGAGAATTCCAAGGCAGCCAGAGGAAAGTTCTGCTCAGACATGACTGTGCCTCAGGGAGCAGGGAGGCCTCTTCCATCTGAGATTTGCAGCCACAGGAGATCCTTGGCAGAACGGTAGGATGACCAAAACCCAGTGAACCCTAAATGGATCTCTGTCGCTTCACTCTGCCTGGTGATATGACAGCTTTAAGAGGTAGCCTGGAGCCCTTTTCAAAGTGAGGGGTATGTGAGGAGCCAAGGCTTTTGGCATCTCAACCTCTTCCAGATTTCAGTCTTTAGAGGACCCAGACCATGTGAATAGAAAGGGAAGGGGGCAGGAGTTTCATGAATCTCTCAGTTCTAGACCAGGGAAACCGCTTGAAATGACTCTTGTGGCATTACATATGCATTCCTGGCTATTCCACTACTGGCTATCTGTGCAAAGAAAACTGTCCTGGATGGACACAAAGATGTATCTAATAAGATGTTTGCTGTAACATTTAAAAATTACAGCCAAAACAGAAAAAGAAAATATTTAAATTCCCAATAATTAGTTATGGGGTAAAAAAATTACAATTTATCTGCATGTTGGACTATTGTACAGCCACTAAAAGTGTTATAGAAGACACACTAAGAATGTGATTCTTATTGGCACATTAGGTATACAAAGCTAACTGAAAAAGAAGCATGCTGCAAAGAAGCACATACAATATGACTGCATTTTTAAAATAAAAATTTAGATTAGGTGTATGCATAGAAAAATCCTAGTAGGACATATGCCAAATGTTATTATCCTCAGATATGGGAAAAAATAGGTTCATTTTTCCTCTGCTTTACTGTATAGCGTGTATTACTTCCCAAACTACTAGAATATAAGCTCTGGGGTGGGGGGTGGGGAGTGTGTGGAGACTGCTCGTTCCTTAGAATCCTAAACAAATGGGAGAGAATTTTCTTTGTTTGTTAGAAGAGTCCCTAGTAGGAGCTCAGTAAATAAGTGTCAAATACATAAGTGAGTGAACTAGGAGGAGAGAAATAATTTAGAAATAAATGAAATCTGTTTTGTAAATATTTATGCCAGCTAATTCATTATCAGAGAAACTGCCTAGACCATGGAATATGAAGGAACCCCCCGCCCCAGTCCCACACCGGAGATTCCCTCCAAAAGCTGTCTCCCCCCATTCCTCAGGAGCCTTGGAGCGAGCAAGAGATTCCAACCCAGACCCCTGGAAGGCCCCAGGAGGAGCCCACGTGGGAGGTGCCAGCTGCTGAGGAAGGTCTGACAGCACACAACACACCCGGGCCATGCAGGTGGGAGGAGTACACACCCGAGTCGGTCTGTCATCTGAGCATCCCTCAGGGATGAGGTCTGAGTCCCTGAGCCGCGAGTTATCCATATTCCTCACCATCCGCTCAATCAACTCCCCCATTTTCAGCCCAGAAGGAGAGGTTCCATAGGTCATGTTTGTGCCATCCTGAGGCCCAACAGGGAGGGCAGGGGACAGTACAGGAGAGGGAGAGAGAGTAAACAAAGGTGGGTGATAGAAAGGGAAGGAGAGCAAAAGAAGGGAGGGGATAGACAAAGAAACAGAGGAGAGGTAAGTAGAGCCTGAATGGAGAAAAGATGGAGAACAGTGATGCAGAAAGAAAACGTTTGTCCATGGGCGCTTCATCTTCCCAAGCTTTCCCATCTACTGGGTGTACTAGGAGAGGAAAGAACAGGAATTCAGCTTGGGGCCCCTTCCTCACCAGCAGAGACAACCAAGGCTATTAGAATACACTGACTACCCCCCAGGGAAGGTGTATCTCCTGGCCCGTCTGCCATCCCCTTACCCTTGGCTCTGGTCTCAGTTCACACCACTTCGTTGAGAGGTGGACTGCAGGCTGAGCTTCTCCCAGATTACAACACAAAGCCTGTGTCTCATGTGAGAGAGATGATCAAAGCTCAATGACTGGGAAGCTTTCTTAGGGAACTGGTAGGCTCAGGTCCATAGCCCAATGTGTGGCCGGCTTACTAGGGGCATGCTGGAACTGAGAAACACGAACCTTGGAGGCCTATTTCCACCTAAATTCCACCTCTTTATTGGAAACCTCCAGAAACTTCTCCCTTGAGAAATTCCCAGTTTTCAAAGTTGAGAGCTACTTTTTTGCTTCCTAAAACAGAACATTCACCCTGTCCCAGAGGAAAGCCCTGTGCTACTCTTCACCGGGTAAGTCTTCCCAGCAGTTGGCAGCTCCCTGTCCTGCACCCCACACCACAGACTTACATCAATGGAGCAGCCCATGAGGGAACCCCTCTCGATGGCTTTCTTCATGATCTTGTACATGTCTCTGGGAGCATCCTTGATTTCAAAAAACTCTGTCACTCCTCCTGTGAAGTCCTCCATGGCCTCTGTAGTGTTCCCACCTTTCAGGGCTTCATACGAACCATGGAGCCTTAGAGAGAGGATGAAGACTAGTCTGGGGTCACAGGCTTCCAGGAAACATGACCCCGGTACCCCTGGCTCCAGGACTTTACTCTTGGGTCCTGTGATGCTGTCTTGTCCAAATTCTCCAACAACTCTCTAAGCTTTTGAACAGGTACTGTGATTCTGTTTCCTCACAATGGAGCAACTGAGCCCCAGAGGCTGTGTGACCAGCTAAGGCCACAGAGAGGAGAAACACTGGGACTGGAACCTGCTATTCCCACTTCCTGATGGTTCTCTTTCCACTACACCCGGAATCTGAAGTAGGGCTCCATTAAAGCCACTAGTAGCTGGAGTGGAGCTTCTGAAAGGCAGCATGGCTTTTATTCATATATTCTGAGCTCCAGTGTTATGTGGCAGCCTGGATGGGAGGGGAGTTTGGGGGAAAATGGATACATGTATACATGTGGCTGAGTCCCTTCGCTGTCCACCTGAAATTATCACAGCATTGTTAATCAGCTATACCCCAATACAAAATAAAAAGTTTTATATATACACATACATATATGTATATATAGTGAGCTCGTGAGGTTGAGCCAACCAAGGCTCTGGGATTTGAGTTCCAGAGAAATAATGCTGGGATCCAGGATCTGTAGTGCCACCAAGAAGGGATGATTAAAGAGCTCACTATGGAAGCTAAAGATTTCCTATCCCCATCTTACTTAGCATAAGCCTTCTCCAGCAGAGCACTCCAGAACTCATTGCGATGGTTGGATTTGGTGAAAACCAGTTGATTGTTGTAAGTTGGCAGGCAGTCATCAATAACTACGTCCACCCAGTCTCCATAGCGCCAGAACTGCACAGAAGCATCAAGCACAGTGCCATCCTCAGATTACCAGTGGGAAATGCGTCTCTACCCCACATTCCTTTTGTTCATACTATTCTGGGTTTAGAGAGGGTGAATTTTTCTTTAAGTGGACCATGAGCTCTTTGAAGGCAGGAAGTACGTTACAAACCATTATGTCTCTTCCACACAGTCCAGCTCAGTACAGGGGATGGTAGGTACTCCATGTGTATCTGAGGGCTTGAGATTTTCCTGCTGTTCCGTAGGGCTGGGGAGGGGCTAGGTATCAGTATTTTAGTTATCTCAGCTGATCCTCATATGCAGTCAGGGCTGAGAAGCACTGGTCTAGGAAAAGGTGATGTATAATTTATGTACTTCTTGATGACAAATAAGGTAGGAATTGTTGAAGAAGAAAGATTGACATGGAAATGGAATGTGACCCAGAATATACTCTGGTTAAAGCAGGAACACTGTCCAGTAATCCCAATTCTAGATGATGTTCTTTCTTAAACAAATCGTTTTTAACCCAAGAAAGCCAAAAGTAGTTTAATTTCCTTCTAATGACGTTTACTCTCCTATGAACAAGAGGGCAAAAATCTGTGTGGTCTTTGTATTTATGATCCTTTTAAATACCCAAGGGGAGTGAGCAGCTTGATGGCATAGGGAAAAACAAGACTCGGGACCCCGCTGCCCTGTCTGCATTGGGATGGCAGCAGGACTCTGATCCTAAACCTGCAGAGAGGACCCTTTCTGAGGCCTTCCATCCTGGGATACAAGATCAACTGATGATCCGGGTCAGTCCAGGACATTTGGAGCCTTCAGGGCTGTTCAGAAGCCTCAGAACACCCGTAGATACAGATGCCCAGATATGAAGCTCATTTCAGTTCTGGGTCAGCATGGGGTTTGGCTCTTTGCTAGGACAGTTTGGATCCAGAAAGTTTTCCGTGTCTGAACTTATTCTGAAACCAAAAGACTCATTGCTGGGCCAAACCAGAAGCCTGGTCCCCAGATTAATGAGATTTTTCTTCCAGAGCCTGGAAGGGATGAATGATAGAGTGGGTATAGACTTGTGTTGGCATTTCTTTTGCAGCCTAAAGGGCCCTCTGGATTCCCAGTGCTAGAGTCTTAGGAATTTACTTGAGAAGGGCTTCTGGTTATCACATAGAAGCCTGACAGCTGGAAAGGTAAAAATAGACCAACAGGCCAGCAAACAGGATATCCTCCAACCTTTCTGGGGCCTAACGGAAGGTGTAGGGGTTTGAGGGTAGGAAGAAATAAACAACTACTTCCTTACAGGCTTGAGGCCTGAAGGGGCTCACTGCCCACAGCCATAGCTGGGTGGGTGGGTGGGGATCTTTCCTGGAGCCACTGGGAAGTCAAGGCTGGGAGACCAGTGGTAGGTGGATGGCCCGCTGGCCCTCTTAACTACCCTCACCTGGAGTCCCTTGACCTCACCTGGAAGTGAAAAATCCCCGCATAGTTTTCGGTGAAACTCTGATCATGGGGTATGACCCGGAAAAGCAGACGCTTGTTCAAGGTCAGGCAAGCGATGGCTGCAAGAAACCAGCAATCCCCTGCAGGCAAACACATGGCATAGGTCACAGGAGGGCCCACACCTCCAGGGAAGAAGGAGACCCCATCCCCATCTGCTTTCTGGAGAAGGGCGTGCACTTGGCTCTCACTGTCCTGCTTTCAGATCTGACCTTATTGAGGTGTCAGCCAAGGAAAGGAGTGTGACCACAGTCCCTGGACCATGTGATCAACAGGGTAATTTACTCCCTCATGACTGCTTTCCTGAAGGCTATAGGCAATTCCTCTGTCTGCAGTATAAGCTCAGACCTCCATTTGAACCTCAATGGAGACAGCAGTGGGGGGTCATAATTGGGTCATTCTTTCTAACACCTGTACGAAAGCTGCCTGCCCTGCACCTTTGCAATGTGACTGCAGAATCTGAGCATCTGAGAGCCATCAGTCCAGCCCATTAGTACTGTAAGCTGGTTAGTATTTGGAGGTGGCACTTTGCTCTGCTTGTGTGTGTGTGTGTGTGTGTGTGTGTGTGTTTGTGTGTGAATGCCCAAGTGGCAGGTCAGGAACACTAACAGAACACAGGCTAGGTTATGCAAGGCCTTTGTTGTGCTGTGTAGGATGTCACGGCATCTTTGAGACTGCAGAGGGGAGGCCGAGAGCCTCCGCAGGCCTCCTCCCACCACCATTCCCACCCTCCCCACCTGCCACCTCCCAAGCAGCCAGCCTCTCCTCTGAAACTGTGTTGGTTGGAAGGCCCAGGTTATCAGCTGGCCAGGTCTCTGCAAGGCAGCCTTCCTTCAAGTGCAGGAAGTCAGATATTCAAAACCTCTTCAGCCTCTCCTTCCGGGACCAAATGAGCTAAATTCTTTTCATTTGGCCTTGAGTGCCCCGTTTCCCTCATGTTCTAAATTGTATCTGTTGATATTTGTTCCCTCCAACTTTATTTCACAGAACTTTGCTGCAGTTTGCACTAAAGACAATGCCTTCCATATAAGAGGCTGAGATGAGGAAGCAGCCAAGCTAATTAACCAGACAAAAAATTGGATGCTCATCCACATGGCAGGTGTCTTCTTTGTTGAAAAGCTTCTTTAATACGGAACTATTCTGGGGCAGTTTAAACAGGAGTTTGAGTTATGAAAGCATTTTTTGTGAGCATATCAATTCTGCATGCCCAAGGGATATGCATGGCACACAATTTCAGAGCTGCCGTCTAAGGAAGGTTGTTGTTTAGTCTTTACGTCATGTCTGACTCCTCGTGACCCCATGGACTCAGCCTGCCAGGCTCCTCTGTCCATGGGATTTTACCAGGCAAGAACACTGGAGTGGGTAGCCATTTCCTTCTCCAGGGGATCTTCCTGACCCAGGGATCAAACTCCCATCTCCTGCATTGGCAGGCGGATTCTCAACCGCTGAGTCGCCAGGAAAGCCCTTTAAGGAAGGTGGGTCCTGCTAGAAACAGGGTTTTTGTCTTGCTGAGTGGGGTGTGTGAGTGTCCTGGAGACTCTGGAGAGGAGGTACACCTCCTGTTTTGATACAAGGCAAAGAGCTGGTAAGAAAGGTGGGAGGGACAGAAATTAAATGGAGCAATCACCAACACAGAGCTGAATGAGTTTAAATAATGTTATCAAAACTACCTCCCCCAAATTCATTACAGCAAAACCAGATTATTGTCCCTTTACTTACTGTAAAAGGATCATATCTCTTAATCACCCCTTGATTGTTTGGCTAAATAGGACCAGAGGAACTTTCCTACCTAGATCTCCTTGGCAGATGTCAGTTCTATTGGCTCCACCAATGATAAATCGGGGATTCTCACAAATTTCCTGTGAAGCAAAAAGGAAATAATAGTAGTAGTAGTAGCTATTATTTACTGAGGTTCATATGCAGTACTGGCATCACATATCAGGAATTTTCACACACCACTCATTTAAACCTCAGAAATACCCATGAATTGGATACTATCATTCTTATTTTTCAGATGAGAACACCAAGATTCAGAGAGGTTAATAATTTGCCCAAGGACACATAGCTAGCAGGGAGGACGAGCCAGATGCATGGCTCCTCCTTTCATTGGTCCACGTTGCTCCCTCACAAATACTCAGATATACTGTCTGAGGAAGGAAGCACCTTGAGAGTTAGGGCAGTGTCACTACTGTCACGGCTTTGACCAAGTGACAGTAAAAAACACAGCTCTGTTTGCTTGTTTTCTAAGTCATGAAAAGAGGTGCAGGAGGGAAAGTAAGGATCTTTTTCTCCAAGATGTGGTAACATAGATATTTAGCATCAGCATGTGTCCCAAGGGCCACAGGACTTGAGAGCTGGGGAGAGCCAAGCGTAAATTTGACATGGGTCTCGAAGGCTTCCCAGTCTGCTGGCAGCTATGTTTCTTTATTTATTTTATTTTATTTTTTTAGCTATGTTTCTTTGATAAAGCTAACCCAACATGACACCCCGGTCTCAGCAGTTTTCAAATCCAGGCACTACCAGTTATATGCATTCCAACAGAGGCCAACAGAGGGTGCTCTTGTGTTTGGATGTGTCATGCGTTGTATTTTAACTTTTGAAATAATTATAGATTCTGTATTTTCGTTTTAACTTCATCCTTCACAGCTTCAAGAAGCCTTGCTATCTTGGCGATATAGCCCTCTCTGTTTTTCTGTCTTCCCTAATACAACAACCTGGGTGAGTGAGCTCAGTGAGTGAATTTTCCTGAGCTCAAGGATCTGTCTCACTTACTAGATGGAAAGTAGTGCATAGATCACAGCACACACACCACCCCCTTGAAGCTCTTATCAATGGAAGGATAAACCCCAAATAATAATTTTTTAAAAGGTTATCTATAGGAGAAGAAAGGATTAAGTGGTGAATATAGGGATGGAAGTAAAACTCTGAATATATCTGTTTTAAAATAATTTTGACTTAGGAACCATGTACATTTTATAGAATTAAAAACCAAAATGGAAGAAAATGCAATTTTAAAAAGCAATCTGTAACTGTGAAAGAATAAAATTCTTATTTTAAGCTACAAAATTTATGGTAATATACTACAGCAGCCATAGGAGCCTCATACAAAACTCCGGGAGCCGGTGATGGTCAGGGAGGCCTGGCGTGCTGCAGTCCATGGGGTCGCCAAGAGTTGGACACAACTGAGCGATTGAACTGAACTGAACTTTGTGATCCCATGGACTACAACACACCAGGCTTCCCTGTCCATCACCAACTCCCAGAGCTTGCTCAAACTCATGTCCACTGAGTCAGTGATGCCATCTAACCATCTCATCCTCTGTTGTCCCCTCCTCCCGCCTTCAATCTTTCCCAGCATCAAGGTCTCTTCAGTGAGTCAGTTCTTCGCATCAGGTGGCCAAAGTATTGGAGTTTCGCTTCAGCATCAGTCCTTCCAATGAATATTCAGGACTGGTTTTCTTTAGGATTGACTGGTTGGATCTCCTTGCTGTCCAAGGGACTCTCGAGAGTCTTCTCCAACACCACAGTTCAAAAGCATCAATTCTTCGGCCCTCAGCTTTCTTTGTAGTTCAACTCTCACATCCATACATGACTACTGGAAAAACTATAGCTTTGACTAGATGGACCTTTGTTGGCAAAGTAATGTCTCTGCTTTTTAATAAGCTGTCTAGACTGATCATAACTTTTCTTCCAAGAAGCAAGAGTCTCTTAATTGTGTGGCTGCACTCACCATCTGCAGTGATTTTGGAGCCCAAGAAAATAAAGTCTGTCACTGTTTCCCCATCTATTTGCCACGAAATGATGGGACCAGATGCTATGATCTTAGGTTTTTGAATCCTGAGTTTTAAGCCAGCTTTTTCACTCTTGTCCTTCACCTTCATCAAATGGCTTTTTAGTTCCTCTTCACCTTCTGCCATAAAAGTGGTGTCATTTGTATATCTGAGGTTATTGATATTTCTGCCAGCAATCTTGATCCCAGCTTGTGCTTCATCCAGCCTGGCATTTCATATGATATACTCTGCATATAAGTTAAATAAGCAGGGTGACAATATATGACCTTGACGTACTTCTTTTCCAATTTGGAAAAAGTCCGTTGTTCCATGTCCAGTTCTAACTGTTGCTTCTTGACCTGCATACAGATTTCTCAGGAGGCAGGTAAGGTGTTCTGGTATTCTCATGTCTTTAAGAATGTTCCATAGTTTTTTGTAATCCATACAGTCAAAGGCTAAATCTTACATCCTAAGATCAAACCCCAAACCATAATGAAATGTGAACCATAATAAATTAAAATAATATTGCTACTACTTCAGAACTTTGACATATAGGATAAAGTAAATAATGTACATTAATGTCTTTAGGAACTAGGATATTTTTAGTGTAAAAGGGAATATGTAGGGGGCCTCGCTGCTGGCTCAGTGCTAAGAATCCACCTGTCAATGCATGGGTTTGAACCCTGGTCTGGGAAGATCCCACATGCTCTCAGAGTAACTAACCCCTTGAGACACAACTATTGAACCCTCGTTCTGGAGCCAGTGTTCCACAACAAAAGAAGCCACTGCAGTGAGAAGCCTGTGCACAACTAGACAGTAGCCCCTGCTTGCCGCAACTAGAGAAAAGCCCACATAGCAACGAAGACCCAGCACAGCCAAAAATAAACAAACTTCAAAGAGATTTCATTAAAAAAGAAAATATGTAAAGTTATAAAAGTGAATAACTTAAGTAAAAACCCTGCAATGTTAAAGTTGAGTTGGATATTTAAGTATAACTCATGATTTATTTTTGTCTCTCTAAAAAAATTTTCTATCTCCCTGCACTAAAACAAAACATAAAATCTAGAATCAGTAAAAATCTAGTAAAGAGAATATCAGCTACCAGGATGTGGTCTTTAAAAACCATTACCCCCTAATAAAATATAAAACTCTCATTATTTCAAATAAGACTCTTTCCTCTTAAAAAACAAAGAAAGCAATTAAGGTATAGTTAACGCATGTTACTTTTGTCTCCCCAGTGTTTTGCATCCTTACAATACATTCCCCCTTCTCCTGATATTATATCTCAATTTTCAGCTGGAGAGCAATCCTACTGCCAGCACTTTTTCTGGTGGGCTTCCCCTTTCACCCAGCTCCACACGGCTGTTAGGGGTAATTAGAGTGAGGGTGATTAGTTCAGGAATGGGCAGATGACCAAGTCTAGGCCAAGAGATATGGCCCAAGTCTTTTGTTGTAACTATTGAGAAAGAAATACATTCTCCTCCAGGAGTTAGTAAGCTAGAGAATGTCAGCCTGAAGTTGTTTGTGGCCATTTCTGCCCCTTTGTGAAGGTAACCTGATTGAGAGTAAAGACAACTCAGAAGCAGCAGATGGAGGAGTGGGTGGAGAGGGCAGAGGTGACAGACAGACAATATTAGGAAGTGTGTCTTGACATGGTTTGAGGCCTGGATTCAGTGTGGTCTAAACCTGATCATCACCTTTGAAAATTCAGTTATAGAATGCTTTTTGGTTTAAGTTAGTTTGAGTTGGGCCTCTGTTACTTACCAGCTGAGACTCTCGACTACCGAGTGTCCTGCCCCTCTTATAAGGGAATTTATTATAGAGTGACTCAAATAATGGAATTTTGGCTACATTTTTTAGCTGTCACAGAGGTAGCTTTCTCTCCTTGGGTCTACAGGTTCAGAAGCCTTGTCCCCTCATCTGCCACCAATTCCAGGGCTGACAACTTGGAAAGGCAGCAGCAGCTTCACTGCTTTCTCTCCCATCAGCTTAGAGGTCCAGCTATTTGAATGGAGTTACATTCTTTGCAATGGTAGAGATTCCCAAATATGCTACATTTACTTTCAATACTACCTCAGCTAAATTCACCAAACACTAATTGGGCTTCTGAGTATGTACAGGGCTGGGGGATTTAACGGTATAATCAAAAGAGGAAATCATCCCTGCCTGTCCTCCAGGAAACCCCCAGCCTAGAGACCCTCAATTGTTTGTCCTCATGAGAGACGTCTGTTTGGTGACGGTCAGTTAGCGAGCTTGTTGAGGATTAATTCATAAAATAGCTAGATTTGCCTAGATCCGCTCCTCACTGCCTACTTTTATGGAGTGAGACCTGTTTTCGTTGGTTAATATGAACGAAGGGTAAATTGTGCTGGCTCTGTCATTTTAGCTTGGGGACCTAAGGCTCCTGGTCACTCCTTTGGCTATAATTTGGCCTGAGACTGGATCTGTCAGTGATGGAGCCCCAGCAATTAGCAGCAGGTAACCATTTCCTCCATTTCTGATTTGCACAGTGTCTCCAAACATTTTTTTATTGTATACCTCCATCGTAAGAGCCCTTCCCTGGTGGCTTGGATGGTAAAGAATCTGCCTGCAATGCAGGAGACCCAGGTTGGATCCCTGGGTTGGGAAGATCCCCTGGAGAAGGGCATGGCTACTCACTCCAGTATTCTTGCCTGGAGAGTCCCATGCACAGAAGAGCCTGGCGGGCCGCAGTCCATGGGGTTGTAGTCAGACACCACTGAGTGACTAACACTTCCACTTTCTTTCCATCATTAAAGTGTTCTGAACACGCAACTCTACAAAAGTATTTTTTATTAGTTTTAAATTGTCCGTGTGTATTATCCTAACATATAATGTGCATTATAAGATAAATAAAAACATACATTTAAAAGGGTGGTCTCATATAGATGTAGGTAGGGGACTTCTGGTTTCAGCTCCAACATATAAAGAGCTTGGAAGTCATCACTCCCTTCCTTACCACAAGAAAAACCTATACACCTGAAAACCAGTGACTTTGCTTAGACCCATCAGAGAATTGAGGTTAGAGGTCAACCCACTACACTGAAATAAAGATGCAAGTGAAACCAGAG